TACATAAAGTATTGAATCTCTTATCTATTAGACAAGTCCGTCCGTCCGTGGTGCTGTTTCAGCGGCCAAGCCGTAAGAGATAGATAAAGAGAATGTTTAAGTTATAAGTTGAGAATAGTCTGATAAGACTACAAACCGGATGTGAGTAACGTAGCACTTCCGGTTTTCGAGAAATCACGTGATTTCTATTTCAAACGAAACCACACAAAATCTCCGAAGTTCTCAAATATTTTTTTTTTTTTTTTGGTGAACATTTGGTTCACTGGTTTGCTAATATTATACTATTTTTAAATCCATTCAACATAAAAATAGATAAGTTACACGCGTAAGAAGGAGAAAGGTTAAAAAAACACAGAAGAAAGACAGTATGTATAATAACAGGTGACGTTATCACCACAAGCTGCAAGTGCAAGGGAATTAGCATGCAGTTCCAACCCTTATTCTTGTGAGCTCCCATTCTTTGATAAAGTTGAATTTCAAGAGATGTAGGAGGAGGTAGGTATAGCGGATTTTTGACTCGAAATGGTGCGGCCGTCTGAAGAAGTAACCTTACTACTTACACTACCTTTTGGTCTCTTAGCATCAGGCGGGCCATAACTTGTTTGCCACTCTTTTTACATAACAAAAAATGGGTGCGTGTACTTATGTAGGCGCGTGAGAAGTTATCCTTCTTTGGCATCGTTTAAAATTAGTTTTTAATTGCATGCAAATAATTAATTACAATAAATTAATAAAAAGTCTGGAAAAGGACGAAGTCAATAAAGTTCAGTTTTAATTTGAAAAAATAAATAAATAATCAAAATATTCAATTAAAATCGCTACTGAATATAATTTATTACAACTAGGGTTGCAACGATATATCGGAATATCGATATTATCGATAATATCGAGACCAAAATATCGATATTTATATCGATATTTAAAATTCACTGATATCGATAATATCGATATCGGAAATTCCAAAATATCGATATTTCGTAGACTTAATTTGAACACAATAATATCAATTAATTTACCTGCTATGACTATCTAAATTGAATAATATCGAAATAACTATTGCTTTGAAATTGCAAGAGCTTATAGATGTATTAAAAAAATCTTGAACCCTAAGAAATATACTAAACTGGTGTGGACTCTGGCATGTTTCTCTAAACCTAAAATTAAATTTGACAACAGTGTATCCTTGTCATTCTCTATACAGAATGAAAAGGAGAGACCGATGTTAAATTTAGTTTTAAATTTAGATAATCATGCCAGAATCGACACCAACGTATATAGGTATAATGGTATATCTAAAGGTAACTGATGCACTTAAATAAAATCCTTGCCTCTCTTTCTAGATAATTGTCAACTACTGATTAATTGAAATTTAATATCATTGTAATATAACTCAAAATAAAATTAAGAATCTTATACAAATCGTAAATTTTTTAAGCTCGCCAAGTCAAGAAAGTAAGATAGGTATAGTAATTTTGGAAGCTTTGGGCTTACCCTATTCTGAAGCCTGATGTGTAGGTTTTACTAATTCATAGCAATTGTTTTTCATATGATTATTTATTCTGATTTTGGCTGCGTGCAAATATTTTAAACCAGTGGTTCTCAAACTTTTTAAATGACGGAACCCTTTTGGGAAGCAAAATACTTGATGGAACCCTACAATAAAACAATTATTTTTATAAGTGTATTCTATATTAATCAGCATAATAAAAGTACAATGTATCCGTTACTAATTATTATTTACTTCACCACTTGGTAAGGACAATAATAGAAAACATTAAAAAAGAAAAAATCTAACTAGTGGGAGGTATGAAACTGTTTTTTATTTTTCATCAATTGCTTGATATCAGGTTTGATGGAAGAAAGTTGGAGTCTCATATCAGCTTCGGCGTCCAGTCTATTGCGATATTTTGTTTTCGTGGCTGCGTAGGTAGAGAATCCTGTTTCGCACAAATATGTAGTTGGGAACGGGAGAAGAATATCCAGAGCCATTTGGCCAAGCATTGCATATTCATCTTGGATTCTGCACCAAAAATCATTAAGAGGCGTCGTTTTGAACAATGACTCCATACTTGTGTCTGATGACATTTCTAAAAGAGATTCATATATCTCATTTGACATGTTTTCAGGCTTTTCCAAGTTGGGTAAAAAAGGATTATGAATCCAAGAGTTCACTTTAATTTTTGTATTGTGTTCTTCGGGAAAATACTTTTCAAAAGATGCGCGCATCGAACTGAGATATTGGACCAATTCTTCAAACACATTATCTTCAAACATTTCTGAGTCGTTTTCGCTAACAAACTCAGTGAGTAACGTAAAACTTTCTATTTCTTTCTTACCAATGCAAATGATCCAAAAATCTAATTTTCTTTTAAAAGTAGTTATTTTATTATAGGCCTGAAACACTGTTGTCTGTTTACCTTGCAATGATAAATTTAATTCGTTAAGTTTTTGAAAGATATCCGCCATAAAAGACAATCGGAACAACCAAGTTTTATCATACAAACGGTCCTTCAAATTAAAAGAAGTATCTGCTGAAAGAAACATTTGTAACTCGGCTCTAAGTTCAAATAGCCTTGTTAAAGTTTTTCCCCGAGACAGCCATCGCACTTCTGTATGGAGCAGCAGTGTTTTATGTTTGCTGCCATAATCTTCACACAATAATGAGAACAATCGGGATTGTAGTGGTCGTGATTTGATAAAATTAATTATTTTTACCGCTTCATCCATAACTAATTTTAGATTAGACGGCATTTGCTTCATCGCAAGTGCTTGTCTATGCAGAATACAATGACTGGAACTACAATTAGGCGCTTTATTTTTCATTCGTGACACTGCTCCTGCTGTTTTACCTGTCATCGCCTTGGCCCCATCTGTACAAATGTCAATGCAATTGTTCCAACTGAGATTATGTTCTTCAAAAAATATATTTATTTTATTAAAAATTTCTTCCCCGGTAGTGTTTGTAAGCAGCGATGAACACATAAGCATGTCTTCTTCAAAAGAACTTTTATATGGATATCTCACAATAACCAGCAGGATAGCCAAACCAGCGACATCAGTCGACTCGTCCATTTGCAAAGCGAATCGTGTATTTTGTAGACGTGTAACTAGTTCTTGTTTGACGTAGCTTGCCAGATCATGGATTCGTCGTGAAACAGTATCGTTTGATAGCGGAACAGTAGAAAGATGCTTTGCAGATTTTTCATCAAGCATACATTTTGTTATGTCTAATACACATGGTTTTATTAATTTCTCAGCGATAGTGTGCGCTTCACCTGCTTGTGCAATGCGATAGCTAACTAAGTATGATGCCTCCGTGGCCTTTTCGTTGGTAGTTTGTGTTACATGCATCATATTTTTTTGACTTTCTAATAACTGATCTTTTTTGCGAACAAAAAATTCTTTATTCTTGTCTTTAGTCTCGGGGTGTACGGTTTCTAAATGTCGACGCAATTTGGCAGGTGCCATGGAACTATTAGGAAGCAGTTTACTACAGAGCATGCAGAGAGGTGAGCCGTTGGAATCAACAAATCCGAAACTGATATAAGATTCATCATACTTCCTTTTTTTCGTCTTTGAAACCGTCGAGCTTGACGTCGTGGCACTCGTGGCATCATCTTCTGGATCGGTGATTGCTAAATTCTCCGCGCGCATTGCTTTTGAACATTCAGCGTCATTAGAAGATGTTGTTGGAACACGTTTAACACCTTTAAGCCAACGTTCCATTCTTCTTTATTTATAATGTTACAAGTCAGGATAGTGGGGTTTAAATAATGCACAATCGTTACTGCGTATAAGAGACTAAATTTAGAACCTACAGGGAAGAAATGTATAAAACTGAGACAACAGAATACAGCAGGCAGTAAAACAATGAACACCAGTTTCTCGCTAGCGAGCTTGTAAGTAGGTAGTAACTTATCGCTCCGAACGCTAATCATCAACTGACGACGCCAACGCGCGATCGCCGCTTTTATACTTAGTCCTAGACTCGATCTCAAATATTCTCGAAAATACTCGAGTCGGCACCTTTGATAAACAAAAAGCAAAAATAAAAACAGAAATTTAAAAATAGCGTTGTAAACAATATCGACTTTATCCTTTGAAGTTAGAGACGAAAGTCGCTAGTTGACAACTATAGCGTCTAATTCAGAGGCGGCTTTTATCAAAGAGACTGAGCGCTTACAAGTATACTACCCGCTCGTTTTAAGTTTGCCGCTGGCGATAGGTATGAGTGTATGACGTTCGAAATTTTTTATTTAATTGTAACAATAAAAATTGTGTACGTTAGATATTTGGGTAAAACTATGACACATTATAAGTTTTGTTGTCACGTGGGGGAGGGTACGCGCATTCCACAGACCGGCAAACTTAGAGCGAACGCGTTGTACAAGTATAAAATTGTTGAGACCAAACTTATGAGATATTGTACCAGCTAATGTAACACAAGCTTATACAAATACAAATAAATAAATAAATAACATTCATAGCGTTTTGTCTCCGCGCGGCCGCGGAGTCCGCACAGCCGCGGAGCGACCAGAGAGAGGTGTTTTGATTTTTTTATTTCTAAATTCTTGCGGAACCCCGACAGAGGTATCACGGAACCCTAGGGTTCCGCGGAACACACTTAGAGTATAGCTGTTTTAAACAAAATAAATATCTTTGATTCGAAATTGCTTTTGATTTGATACTTCTTACAGCGCTATAAAAAATATAGTAAATATCGTGTTGGAAATGTTGGAATGGCTGACATATCTGATCGGATATCGATATTTACCTGCCCACATTATAAATATCGATATTTCGGAAACCTTTGCTTCCTTAATTTTAGGACTTTGCTTTGCAAACTTAATACAAAGCAAAAAAAAGAAAAAGATATCGATATATCGATAATATCGAGTTAAAATGGTCGATATATCGGATATCGATATTTGCCTGACTTCGATATAAATATCGATATAAATATCGATATTTCAAAAGACTTTGCATCCCTAATTACAACATATGTGATTTGCACTTGTATGAAACTCAAACACGTATTCCGAATATACAAACTAGAAACATGTGGATAAATATTATAAATATGAATACCTATAACTGTTACTTTATTACAAAAAATAAAGATGTGGTTTTTGGTTCTACTACACCAATGGTCAAGAGATGGCGCTGTAGTCTCCTGAATCGCGCTTTGGTTCCGTTGTTCCAGATTAATAAATACTTTTGATAGGCCATCACAATGCAGTCGTTAGCACCCACTAAATAGAGATTCTATTTCTATTTTGTTGGTAGATTTTCTTAATGTGCGGTAAACACAAAAGTAACGCATGAAGTTGGTCGCTAAAGCGCTAAAGCGACCAACTTCATTATGTTAAAATTTTGTGTTACAGTGATGCGCGCGCATCTTAAAATTTCACTCTCATCATTTTTTCATCTTCTCAAATCTTTCAAACTTCAAAAAGATTTTTATTGGGTTTTCGTTCATAAAGAAGTGATTATATACTTTTTTTTACCTTAAGCCTACTACTACCTGAAATTATTTTATAGCACAGTGTGACCTAAACCCGCACTTTACGCACGCTTTTCCGTGACCTAAGTTGCCTATTTCTGCCGGTGTGTAAATGAATTGACCAACTTCACTCATGTAGAATAGTACATTACGATACGCGTAACTTAACTTTAATATGCCAATCAAGGAATAAACGTTCATAGATACATTGAAATTCTATTTTGTTGTAATGATATTTGATTTTTTCCTTTTGAAATATACTTTCAAAATGGTAATCTGAACCGGAATTCTTTCTTTTCAGAGTTTGACTTGCAGTCTGTATTGTAATTCTTTGTGATTGCAATACATGAATTTTACTTTCAATACACTAATCGCATCCCTCGGGGGGGGCGGAGGAACCCCCCCCCCCCCCCTCTTGCCCGCGTCCGGGGCGGGTTTATGTCACACTTGCTATAAAATAGTATACGATACTTGTGGCCTAAGTTGTCTATTACTGCACGCCGTGCAGTAATAGGCAACTTAGGTCACGCGTATCGTAATGTACTAATACATAGTCGGTAGGTACTAAGTATTCAAATAAATGTGCACCAATTAAATTTGTTTTAAGACCCGCCGTGTCCGACCTCTCTTTATATTTTTTTAGGTTCGTCTAATTAAGTTTACAAAGCATTTAAATTCTAATGGTTATGCTCGTTTTAATGTTTAAATAACATTGAGTTAAGAGAATTAACCATCCAACGTTAATTGGTAGTTGCCACAAGTAGTTGCACTTTTCGGAAAACATGAGGTAAACCGCAATGAGTATGCATAAGCAAGGTAGCCACAGTACAGCTTTACAATATGAACATGGAAATTTTTCCGACAACTCACACTAAGTAAGTGATTTTAGAACCGGTTTTCATTATATGCTTCGAGACTTTCTTCCACGATCCCGTAATTACGACAGCGAACTCATGAGGATATTCGGAATAATCTCGACCATTGACGTCAAAGGACCGGTTTAATGCCTTTTTTTTTTAATTAAAGACTAGCGCATTCAAATATTGAGGTACAGTAATGGTTATATACACCGTATTTATATCATATATCATACATCATTATATATCATCATATTTAATAGTATGTAAGTATAATGTTATTTTATTTTATTTTATTTTGTGTTGTTTTGTTTTATTTTATTTTATTTTATTTGACTTAATTTTTATTAGATTGATAATTGATTTATGATTTAAATTGAAATGAATTGTATTTATTTGTAATTCGTGTTTTTAATTTATATATTTTACTATTATTATTGTGATTATCAATTGTTTTTATACTTCTGTATGTAATATGGGTACTACGCCTGAAATAAAAGATTATTATAATTATTAAAGTGTTATATGTAATTAAATATTCATGACCTTCGAGAAAAAAATACGTGACATATTTTTGCTTGTTAATTATTATTCTTCAAAAATTTGTATTGTACTGTCAGGTCACTTTTTTTAATTCTCTTCAAACCTGTTTTTTAATAGGCAAACATATTAACTCCGAAACCTACTGAACTACTGTCAGGCTCAGTGGCAACTTATTAATAATTGTAGCACAGGAAACATATTACTTTCTAAATAAAATGTTTGGTTTTAGGCGTTGTTTAGTTTACATTTATAAGCAAAACCTCTTTGTAATCATACGAACACTTGGGAGCTAGTTAATTAAACTTTATTTATATATTAAAAATATAAGGTGTTACATTAATATACCTTGTTGTTTGAACAGCAATGTTTAAGTTAATAAGAAATTTAAATAAAATAGTGACAGATAGTGGTCATAATTACATTATATTATCTATATCTATAATATCAAACCTTGCCGAACATTATAACTTGCTTACACCTACTGCATTTATAAAAATAAATGCATTTATAATACAAGTAATCTCACGCGTCCTATCAATGTGCGCTGAACTTGATCTCAGTATTTGTTTGGTCTCGTACCACAGCGGATTGGTATAAGCACCACTCAATACTGTCCAGCGAACGTATCGATACAGTCGTTTTAACATAGGAAAAATGTTCGTAAATCACAATTTTTTTTATTGCTCTGCTTGTTTTCTCTTTCCTAGTAGTCATTTGATACGATGACTTCTTTTGTTGACAGGTCGTTCTCAATACCAGACGGGCTGGTGATGGACCCACTGGCGCCGACGGCACTCGCGGTCTCCAACGAGTTCATGGGTCGTTTAGGCAGTGGCCTGTCCCTACTGAGGGACCATGGAAAGAAAGTTCAAAAGGTCAGTTGCATTGTACGTCATCCAAGTACTCAAACATAAAACGCCGGCGCCAATTAAGTTTTCGAGATGAATTCTTTAATAGAATATTATGTCTAATGACAATAATTATATTCTAGGGCTAGGGGTACAAAAACAATTTGATTCTCAAAACACGCACTGCATGATAAGTGATGATAATAAATAGTTCGTAACAACTCTTACACAATATTCGTCGGTTATCTTGATTTTTAAAATTAATTATGTATACTTGAAAAGTCTACATTTAATTCTTAATTATACATTATCTTTTCGATAATATTATCTGTTTGATTAGAATTCTCAAATAATTTGTTACTTTACTCAGTAAACATACGTACCAATATTGATGAAGTTACATATATGTGTACGTACTTAAATTAAACTGTTTTTCTTTTCCTTGAAATGTTTGTTTATATTTTTTGTATATATTGCGTCCATAGAAAAATAATACTATTAATTTTTATGTTTCTCTTATTCCGCCAGTATGTTATGAAAAATAGAAAATTCGACATTTTCTCGAAGAGGTCATGCAAGTCAGTGGTGAACGTCGTGTTGGTCGAGGCCAAGGACTTGCCCGACGGACCGACAAACGGATCCAATGGACTCTACTGCAAATTCAAGTGAGTTAATTAAACTTTTCTTGTTAGGTTTTCTTTATTTACTTTTTTGCTTATCTTAAGGATGACATTGAATCGTCGAGTTGTTTTCCCCACTACTTTTGTTTTCGTTAGTATCAAAGGATTTATGACAAACTAGAGGTCGGCCGCGACTTCGTCTGCGTTAACTTAGTTTCTTGAAAATCCCTCTGGAACCCAACATTTTTTCGGGATAAAAGTAGCCTGTGTGAATCTAGGGTATCAGCTAACTTCATACCAAATTTTATTAAAATCGCTCCAGCCGTTTATACGTGAAGAAGTGACAAACATACACACTCACATAATCACACACTCACAAACTTTCGCCTTTATATTATTAGTGTGATGAAATACTTATGTTTATATAAACATTAATAAAGGTTTTATTTTTAATTTGGTCATATTTCCGATACAAAGAATAGAAATACGTTGATTCGTTCTTTAAAAGCAACAATACAATCTGGACCAATTCGTCATTTAGAACAAAAAGAGACATTTGGCTTCCGCAATATCAAGGTTACAAAAAGAATTCAATAAGTTTTGTTTAACCATTTTCATGCGACTGCAATATGAATGCCAAGATTTTGACAGAACAAAAATTAGAATTATTTTTAAGAGTGAAAAGCTAGTGAATATTATCCTTAAATTAAAAAGAATATTGTTCTTTCTAGCGAAGCATATGACCATAGTCTAGCTTTTTCTACCGATGCACTATCGTACAACATTTATTTCACATAATATTAGTATGTGCAATCAAAGACAAAGAGTCAGAGAAGTTCGGCTTGTGAAATTAATAAATAAATTGCTTATAGTACCTATGTTGTTCTTTCTTACATGTCCGCGTCAAGCCTTCAACAGCGCCAACAGCGTATTTTTCTCATAGATTATGGAACGCTATACTGAAACATTTTAGTGCAACGAATTTATCTATCTAACCGTTATTGTAGGTTTAGAGTATATTATTATTATTATTATTAGATTGTCATTTGTCGTTCGAGCGACGAGACAGGTTGTCACCAAGTTGCACTTAACATTAGCACACTCTCAATTCGACAAGTATGCACGACATGTTTGTTTACATTATGTATTTTCATATAAAATGTCAAGTGTAATCGTATTTAATTTAATTTTTTTGTAGACATTTAAAATAAAATATAATGTCCAGGAATAAGTTTATTTATGTATTTTCACAAAATCGAGACTTTTATTTTAAAAGTTATTAAGATTTATATGCTAGTTAGTTACTTGTTACCATCTTTCAGGTAGTATATGATCCTATAGTCATTGTGACTTTTCTTAAAAGGCAAGTACAGTAACAGTACAAGTACTTTTAACTTACCTCTTTTGATTCGGTTAAGAGAGATACTGAAATAGGCGGAAATCTGATGAGGCAAGGTCAGGGCTATAGCTATAATGAATACCTTATTCCTAGTCAAACGCGCAATTTTTCGCAAAGCTCACGCCTGTTCTGAATTCTCAATTTCTTGCTTGATTCTTAACAGTCGTTGGCAATAGAAATCTGAATCAATTGTTTTTCCCAGCGGTAAAATTTAAATGATACCCTTCTAATTTTACATACACGCATCATCTTATTGTGATTGAATCTGGGTTTCGCCTTAGCCTGTTTAGCTTGACGAACTTTGACCATGAAGAGATTACTTACAACGACGAATAAATATTTAGTTTTATTTTTTTTTGTTTTTGCCTTTTTATCCATAATATTTTTCATAGGTTCTTGTCGTAGGTAATCCACTTTTCATTACCAGTAAGGCAGGTTTCATTACGCTTCTCTAAAAAATCATATATTAGTACCAACACGTTTTATTTAGTTTCTTTCAGAAAGCTTTTGTGACACTCAAATCTGAAGCTTTATGTATAAGTACCTACCTCCCCATGACTTTCTCAAATGGGTCAAAGCTGATTTTGGCCAATTCGCAGTAGCTGACTTCTATAATAAGGAAAAAAATAGAGCTGAGCCATAGTTAGTTAGAGTTAGCCTAAACTGCTTTATTCAGCTTTGTGTTTATTTACTAGCGCATTCGCAGCATAATCCTAAATGCATGATTGCATGAGGTACATAAACGTTTTTTGTCGTGGCTTTATTCGCCTTTTTATAATAAAATTTTGAAATGTAATAAATTTACTTGTTACCCTAATTCATTATGTGGGCAAAAACAACAGAATAATGGCGACAACCTGTTTTAATTACCTTTATTCATGTTTAAAAATCCCACCTTTTCAATGGTATCATAGCCAGCAAAACACAAATACTACAACCAAAGAGATTTTATTACAATTTGATACATACAAGATATCTTAACTTTTTCTCCGACCTTAAAAGTCATTCTTGGTTCTACATCTTTGAATAGGCTAATGCAAACTCATTTTTATATTGCGCAAGCGATGATCGCAAAGGTATATTTGGATATGCTAAGTAGATGTCACAAAAACCAATACCGTTAAACTAGATACTGAATCATTAGGCAAATACTGTTCTAAACATATCATAAAATAGAAACCATATACGACTTTATTGGTAATAAAAATGGTTTATTGATGGCAGTCGGTGTTTCCCTCATATTTAAGAGACAGCTGCAAAAACAATATTCTTTTATGTTCTGATACCTCACAGTGAGCTCCTCAGAATAGAGTTTAAACAAGTTAATAACAGGAAGGGGCTTCTCTCTATTATCGTAAGCAATATACTGTATATACAATATACGAATAGGGCTCCCTTTTCACAAAATGAAAATATGTAGACTTTTTTATCATATTTGGGCCAATATGAGGTTAATTGACCGGTAATCTATAAAAACGATCGCTCAGTAACATTTTCACCGGTATCGGTATATACTTATTGTGTTAAGTAAAGAGTTAACATGAACAATGTTGTATTTGTAAGCTCTTTCGTTCAAATAGCTACTGCATGAAAGACAGTAACTTTTTTTTTATTGTTTCAGATTAGGAACAGAGACGCACAAAACGAAGCATGTTTCAAAATCAAAGGCAATGTGGTGCGAGAGATTCAATATGTACCTGTACGATGACTGCGTATTAGAGACGACGGTGTGGCACAAAGAGAAACAGAAAAATTTCATGGGACGGTAATTACTAAATTTGTTGTCAATCAATGTCAAGAAACTGAAACAAATAACGCTCATAACTTTTACTCTTGTGTTAATAAATAAATGATCAAAAATTCAAAGTCAAACAATAATATTATATATAATAATCACAGGAAATACTACATCATACGACATTTTATTAATGATAGTGCTCTTAAGATCTTCACGTAGTTATCGCTATATTTTATCTTTTTAAACCGTAGGTGCTTTAATGTTAAAAAGATCTACTAATTTATTATAATTTTATTACCTACTTACAGACTTTTTTTAGAATTAAACTGCTTGATTTATAAATATACAAATTATACTAGAAAATATCTAGTTAAGTTTTTCACTATTGTAGTATAAACATGGGACGGTATAAATAATTACCTACCACGTACGGTATAAATAATTTGTTTGTTTATTCATTCCATTGTTTATACATAAGAACACACATCACTGCAAAAATTGAACTTGAATGCAATAAATAGATGTCAGATGAGATGATAAGATACTTTTGATTATAGGTGTTCTATCGACCTTTCGCGTCTGGAGAGGGAAAAGACCCATGATATGTGGTTAGAAATGGAGTGTGGATACGGTAGCCTTCACCTGCTCGTGACCGTAAACGGGCCTGCTCCAGTAATACCCAACGATTCAATACCTACCACGACCAGTATTCATCATACCACCCTTGAGAAGGAGGAGTTTGTATGTACTGAACTTTTTTCACATTTTCGTTTTTAAAGAGATTTATTTACTTACCTTGGAATCACAACTGCATGGAACTCAAGAATTAAAAAAAAAAAAAAAAAATTTAGGTACATTAATGAAATCTACTGTTTTCCTGAAGTCTAAAATAATATAAATCTTTCGACTTTATCATAACAAGTATTTTAATATTTTCACCATTTTAACTACTATATTTTTAGATCTAATGTGAATTATAAGAGCTAGAAATATTTCCAGTTTGCAGGTGTCTTTTTGAATTGAATTTTTCCAGTAATATTTTCTTTACATCCACTATTTGTAGATTGAAATATACAGTAGTACCTTTGTTAAAACTTTCAATCTGATATGAAAGCGAAAGTAACACAGTAGTACTATAAAATTTAAAGACATTATTAATTGTTGACTGGAAAGGAAACAAGGCCGTTTACTTTCGTACAAGAAGATCAATTCAGGAAGTTCCATCGCTAGGAATTTTAATTGTTTTGACTTTATCACTGTATTTCGTTGTTATTATTTTTACATTGGACATGGTATTTATTTTTTGGACACTGTTTAAACGTTTTTTTTTCTGTAGTAGGTACTTAACTGTTCGGAAGACTATTGTTTATTACTGTCACTAGCGCAGACGCGCTCAATGAAAAGCCAAAAATCATGGCCAGGCATTAAGAGCTAATACATCGCTGGCTGTCACATATTCCCGATCATAAGAAATATGCTCGAAACACCGCACCACCATATACGCTTTGACAAATATGAAGAGAAGATCCTAATTCTAACTACCTTTATTTTATTTGCTGCAGACGTGGTATAAGCTAGACAACTTAAACGAGGTGGGCCAGCTGCTAGTGACAGTGCACGGCGCGCGAGGTCTCAGTGCACCCGGGTTTGGTAGCCGAACCGACCCTTACTGTGTCCTGGAATTAGACAACGCGCGCGTACAAACTCACACCGTGTTAGCCACCAACGAACCACACTGGAATAAAACCTACTTCTTGTAAGTACTCTTTTACTGGGTGATACTGCATGGAATGCGAGGACTCAACGCGCTACGGTTCAGTGGCCGGGATGATCCCTACTGTGTGCTGGAATTAGACAACGCGCAAGGTTTCAGTGTACCCGGGATCGGTGGCCGAACCGACCCCTACTGTGTTCTAACTACTGTGTTCCGGAATTAGACAACGCGCGCGTACAAACTTATACCGTGTTAGCCACCCACGAACCGCACTGGAATAAAACCTACTTCTTGTAAGTACTAGCTAGCTTTTACTGGGTGATATTGCATGGCATGCGAGGACTCAGCGCGCTGCGGTTCAGTGGCCGGACTGATTCCTATTGTGTGCTAGAATTAGACAACGCGCGCGTACAAACTCACACCGTGTTAGCCACCAACGAACCGCACTGAAATAAAAACTACTTCTTATAAGTACGCTTTTACTGGGTAATCAGGTGAGCCGTCTGCTCTCAATAACATAAAAAAACAAACAAAAATCCCATTTTTTTTTAACAAAAAATGTAAGGCATGCGAGGACCCAGCGTGCTAGGGTTCAGTGGCCAGACTGATCCCTACTATGTGCTGGAATAAGACAACTCGCGCGTACAAACTCACACCGTGGCAGCTACCAACGTACCGCACTGGAACTAAACCTACTTTTTGCAAGTACTCTTTTACTGGGTGATATTGCTTGGCATGCGGGGTCTCAGTGTGACTGGGTTTGGTGGCCGGTCCGACCCCTATTGTGTGCTGGAATTAGACATCGCGCGCATACCAGACCCACATCGTGGCAGCCATCACCGAACTGCATAGTAACAAGACCTACTTCCTTTTAGTTTTTTTAATACAAACAAGCACACGGTCGACCTGATTGTAAGTGGACGCCTGCAACACCAGTAGTACCACATGCGCGTTATTAAATAATGACCAATTAAAAACATCTTTACGCCTCTATTGAAGAAATCCATGCTGTATTTCTTTGAGTAAACAGTAGGTGACCAATAATTTCAAGACCCTCTTCTTGTAAGCACTCTTTTAATACTCGAGTAAGAGAACATTCGTTCACTGAGTCCAATCAAACATCGTTGAACGAGCTCGTTCACTCGCTCTGCTGTTTCCATTTACCGAGCGAGCATATATCTTCTCGTCCAGAACTGTTCTGAGCTTAAGTGGAAACGCAACGCAGCATTGTAAACACTGAATTGAAGATAAAAGTTGTGAGACTAATTTCGTGATTTCCCCTAATGTTATCTATTGCGTCACCATCACAAATCACTTTTCATGCGTCAATTATTTAAGCGTAGCCGTTGCGTTCTGCTAAATACAATTTTCTGTTGCGGTTTACATACAGTTCAAAGGAAACAAAGATCAATTTCGGTTGAATTTAAAAAATCAGTCATCACGTCACAGAATTTTCATATTTCCACTAGAAAAGACTTCAACGAGCTACAAAGTTGATGATAATAAACGACGACTATCGGGCCCGACTCTTAGTTTCAAAATTGTTTTTTTTTTTTCATTTTATCTAGCCACTTATTCTTCTACGATATGAAATGTTATATGGCAAGGGATAAAGTCAGGATAGAAAATATCTCAAGTGATACTTTAGTATCGCAAGCGTCTATCTATAGGCATGGCGGCCGCTAACCATCTTTATACATTATTATCTTTACATTTGCCACGCTTTTTACATAAATATAAAGTAAACTTAAAAGAAAATCTACAGTCTGCCATTCTTATCCACACACTAATAATTCATAATAATGAAAATTTTGATTATCCATTTTTTCAGTTCAGTAAACGACATCACATCGACTTTGGACATCACTGTATACGACGAGTGCATGATAAACTCTATAAAGGGAGAGACGCTGGGAAAGCTCTCGATTCCCCTGCTGAGGATCAACAACGAGGAGAAACGATGGTACGCGCTCAAGGACAGAACGCGGAAGAACAGCGCGAAGGGCAACTGCCCAAGAATATTGCTGCAGATGTCTGTTGTTTGGAATCCGGTAAGTTTGAAAACAAAACGTTTTTGAATTACGGATGAAACTTATATCGCTTTACTACTGTTGAATATCAGGATACTTGGAAAAATCTACAAAAAAAATATAGTTACTAACTTGTGATATAGAAATATATATTAGATGAAATGTGATAATGTTTGAAGAAGTCGTTAGATTTTTTTTTAAATAGTGTTTTGGTAAATTTATTTCTATTCTGAACGCATGCGCTAGCGAAACTTATTAGAGTTTACAATTAAATAGATTTCAATATTGACCATATATATTCTGTTGTGAATTGTTTATAATCAAATCCTGCTTTCATCAACGTATTTTTTTTTTCATAGAGTAGGTACCTACTTTTGAGTATCCTCTTTTATTTGTTTACTCTTTAAATGCCTTTTATTTACATTTTGATTTAAATGTTACTTTATTACCAATCTATACTAAAGGTACTTAATTGATACATAAATATTTTTGTTCATTTTCCAGATCAAAGCTTCAATCAGAGTATTAAGTCCCAAGGAAACAAAATACATGCAAAAACCAGCCAAATTCAACATTCCGCTGATTTACAGTAATCTCAAATTTATTCGTGATGTATTCAACGCACTTTACGTAGCAAATGAGCATATCAAGTAAGTAGCTCTAATTTATTCGTTTGTAGTATCTAGGTAATATATGAAAATATCGTGTCTCAATGTTTGAACTTCTTTCAAACGACTTCACCGATTTTATTATTATTTTTTTGTTTATATTTGGTTGGTCTGAGAATAAGGTCTTAGCTATTTTTTATATCCTTAAGTGAAAAAGTGGGGAGGAGTTATATTCCGACATCCACGTTAACAAAGTCGCGGGCTAAAGTGCAATTTATTTTGATTCTGTTTCGCAAGTTTCTTTAAGTATATCTTATACACTCAGATCATGGCTACATACGGCACACTTCGCACCTTTGTGATAATAACATTTAATATTTATACGTAGTTACTAATTCTGTAACCCGTCTTAGCTCACCCATGTATATTTAATTATGGTTCTATATAGTTTTCTGCTTCTTACTCATACCCACTTCTAGAAGCAAATACACTTGATCGTTAGTTCGGTTACGATTGCCTATAGGATTGGAACAAACGATTAAATATAAATGAACGGATTCGAGTACGCCCGTACTCGATTCGTTTTGATTTCCTCCAATCTGGCGTCACTAAGGTAAGTTCTAACTAGATCACGGATGCAGGTCTTTTGCCCATGTTAAACGTGAATAAAACAATGTAAATATTGCATCGGGTGGCCGAGATCGAGTAATGTCTTACGTGCACCCGAATACGGGGTAACGTCCAAGTTTAATTGGGTCGTAATCGTAAAACCAATTAATTTCTATGCGGTTACGGCGATTCCTACTTGGGCTAGGTTTTATTTTCAGTAAAACTATTTTCTATAAGTAGTCAAATATTTAGTGTACTAAAGTATCACACTAATATTATAAAAGCAAAAGTGTGTGAGTGTATGTTTGTTACTTCTTCACGTCTAAACGGCTGTAGGTAGCGATTTTAATAAAAATTTGGTATGGAGTTAGCTGACACCCTGGATTAACACATAGGCTACGTTTTACTGCGGGAAAATATCCCTAATAACCCGTGGCTAACACCGCGGGGCACAGCAAGTTTTATAGAAAATTTAAAAGCATGACTAAATATGACAACGAATCTGCTATAAGGGAAACGATTCACGACGACGTCGTGGATTTTGTTAGGCAATTATCTTCATATTTTATTTTAAATCAAATCAAACTCGGCAGGCATGCATTTGAATGGGAGAACCGGGAGCTTTGTGTCGTGGCGCTGGCAGCCTGGCTCGGCTTCTGGTACTACTTCCGTATATGGATGACGCCGCTGATGTTGGTGGCACCCTTCTTGTATTACTGGTTCGAACAAAAATGCAGTAGTGAGTATTATTTTATGAGTAACCTTAAAGTTAGACACGTTACTGTACTACTTTATTAACACGTACCTATACTATAGATATTTAAATCCTAAAAAAATGATAGCTCCTTTCTTGCTTGCTCGAAGACTTTTGTGAAATTAGTTAGAATCGAATAGCCCACGGTGTCCTAGTAGGGGCGTTCGGTGTTTACAAACTAAAGGTCGTCAAAATAAATAATAAGACTTAATAACTGTTGTAAATCCATAGGCACTAAAATTAAGTGGATCAATGAAAGAATGCAAAACATAGATGTAAAAAAAAGGTATTTGCCAACATGCGTATCTAATTAAATATTTCTTTGTAATTTCCAGCGAGAGGTAGGAGTAATGCATTGGTTCTCTTTAGCCAATCAGAGGCTGAACTAGAGGATGAAGATTTAGAACAAAAGGTATGATATTTTTTAAAGGTGTTTAATAAATTTACGTTATTCTAAGACATATTCAAAATACATAAAGTCTGAACTCTGTAAAAGAAGCAGTGTTAACAGCCACAATTATATAAAATATCGATCTATATTGATCGATCTAAGTAGGTACGTTATATTTTTTATAACAGTAGAACCATAGAATCATGGTGTAATTTAATATCCTTCGTACTGTATTATTTTAAGTGTTTTCATTCGGCTGCAGGTGTTTTAAAAAATCCAATGTGGCATTGGTCACAGTAAGTCTAATAGTTGGCTGACACTCTCCGGGCGCCTCCGACTCCTCCCATACAGCCCATAAGCACCAACACTACACAGCTAGCATACTTGCACACTAGCTTAGCATTAGGCAGACACCTCACCCGTAGGATAAGAGTGCGCAGACCCGGTCTACACACGACACGCTATACCAGGTACAGGTACGTACGTACCTGAGCGTTTTTCCCCGCCCCCCACGACAACGGCTAACTAGAGCCAAGGTCCGAGTCTTAGAGACGCCCTCTAGTTGAGCCGACCCCTTCCTCTTCCAGTCTCTCCAGACGGAGAGGAGACTCCCCCCTTAGGATTTCGCCGGCCGTAAACCCCGTGACGCTGTAAAGGCCATCTGCGATCAACAGCATACACACTCAAAAAAAACTCTGGACAAAATTAGTATTAATATTTGTGTTATTTATTTCCAGGACGACAAGTCAATACGAACTCGATTATACGGACTTCAAGATATTACGTTTACGATAAAGAATGGTATCGATTACGCAGTGTCGCTCGCGGAGAGAATAAAAAAGTGAGTTTTCTTTATTAATTTACTGATTTCTCCTTTAACAATAACTTTACTGTATTATAATAAGCATTTTGCACACCATTGATATTATATTGTAGGCTTGCTGCAAAGAAACAGTGGCATTTTGATTTTAAAAAGATGATAAAGTTTTTTTTTAATTTTCTCTTTATTTAAAGGACTTTTATCTTTACAGACATGTCAGTCCCATCGTGTACTTATATAAATTAACAAACCATCTAAGCCAATTAACGTAATATGTTATTGTCGGAAGAAAGTCGCGGCAGACATATAAAGCGATACAGGATTCTAGCCTCTTCCAACACCGGTTGGGCCAGAATGCTGTGAAACACACCAATGTCTGACATATTCAATTTACATTTATTAACAAACTCTTGTCTCTCATTCTGGTACTGGATACAATCCATCAACATGTGCTCATGGAGATCTTCTACAACACAGCATACTTCACAGTTGGGAGACTCAATTTTTTTCATAAGATATCCATACTTGTTACATGGATAATGTCCAGAACGAAGTCTATTTAAGGTCACTACAAAGTGTCGACTTAATGTTAAATTAATGAAAAGCTCAAATACATACTCATATTTTGCTGAGTTAATGATAACATTAGGGTAAGCGATTGTATATTAAGCTAAGCAATTAAAAAAAGTAATATAAGAAAGTTTTTCTTTGAATGCAAAATATCGCATAAAGATGTTTCCCGCATTTTTTGAATAATTTCTTACTCGTATTTCGCAATTTCCTTTATTCCTACATAAATGTAGATATTAAAAGAATTATTCTTCATTTTCAGTTTGGCGAGCTTCGCAGTGCCCTACTTGAGTTGCATAGCAATAACTGCCTTGCTGATAACAGCAATTAGCCTCTACTTCGTTCCGTGCAATTATTTAATAATGACTCTAGGTAAGTTTTGTTTTATATTTCTATATTTTTTACTAGCGGCCGCCCTCGACTTCGTACGCGTGGAGTTAGTTATTCATTGTTACAAAATGCGTTGAAGAAATAAAGGTTCACTGCTCGTTCCCCGTAGGTGAAGTGTGATAATATGTAGCCTATATGTTGACCCGACTTCTTAATAATATTCGTGCCAAATTTGAAGTAAATCCATGCAGTACTTTTTGAGTTTATCCCGGACATACATACAGACAAACAGACATAAATTCTAAAAACTATATTTTTGGCTTCGGTATCGATTATAAATCAAACCCCAAGTATTCTTTTAAAAAAATATTCAATATACAGTTTTGACTTTCCTACTATTTTATTATATGTATAGATTATTTCTTGTCACGTGTGTTTATTATTTAGAACAGAAGTAAATTTGAATAAATATCAAAGGATTTTTTATGTTTACATTTTTTTATGTTAGTGCCTCATTCAGCATTTGTTGGGTGAAAGTTTAAGTGATAAAATCCAGGATAACTCTTATCAATTATTTAGTTCCAAACTGAGCATAGCTTAATAATAGCATTGTAATATGGAAACTAATAATATAAACAACCATAACGCGAGAAGTATTTGTGTATATCAATCACCTAGTAATTGCGTATCGCAGATTCGAACCCAAGACCTAGACCAGAGAATCAGAGGCCAAAGCATAAACTTTGATCGTAATTGTATGACATCGTTAAAATTTCTATAAAAACTAAGCAGCGCCCGGACGTAAGAACAAACTGGCTCCTTCGATACAAAATTTGACGATGACGTTGACAAGACGATTACGGAGCTGTCAAAGTTCGTGTTTGGGCATCACCGTAGCAGTAACGCAGCCGTTGTACCAACCAGTCATCGCGTATTGTTTGAAAAAAAAACTATTAGTACTTTTTTCAAATAAATAAAATAATATTTTCCAGGTATTTACAAATTCATGAGAAAGTTCCTAAATCCGGATCGAGTGCCCAACAACGACTTATTGGACTTCCTGTCAAGAGTTCCCGATGATGAAGATTTGGTGAGTTCAATGATCAGATAATTGAATTATTAGGTAAATAATTCAAATAATAGCTTCAATAACGGATGTATTTTGAGCAATGCTATAGGTTAATTTCTTTAAGACTGTGCTCGGTTTTATTGGAAACGCAGCCTAACAATTAAATGATAGCCGTTTTAATTTTCGATCTTTCCTTTATTAATGATGGCTTCATTTGTTTTCATTCATTAGAGATAAGTTTTGCACAGTTTCTTCCATCTTCGGCGATGACATGGGTCGTCTCAAGTTTTTTACAAATCTTTAAATATACTAGCTGTCCCAGCGAACTTCGTACCACCATAAAAAATAGGGGTTGGTGGTGTAAGGGTGAAAATTTAGGGTTGTATGTATTTTTGTATGATGTAACATAAAAAAATAAAACCAAAAATAATTGTCCAAAACCAAAATTAAGTAACCACCCTTTTCATTTGGAGAGGTTAAAAAATAGATGTTGTCCGATTCTCAGATCTACTGAATATGCATATAAAATTTCACGAAAATCGGTCGAGCCGTTAGTTCAATTACGCACACCGTGACACGAGAATTTTATATATTAGATCTCATTTATTTCAGAAACAATGGCGGGAGTTAAAAGTTCCGGAGCCAAGTTTCTTCAGACGAACGTTATCGAAAAAAAAATCGAAGAGCGTCGACCAGGATCAATTCACACAAAATTAGCGAAGCGAAGCGATGCTGTTTACTTGCTTAATATTATAGACTGGAATTACTGTGATTATGGATTTGAATGTACTTAGTGCCATAGAGGAAATGCTATCTGAGTACGTCAATAGTAAGATGATCTTTAATTGTTTAGGCATTTACGTACAAAAATGTATGGTCGAGAATATCGGAAGATTTGAAATCCATCGAATAAGGGCTAATTTTTTAAATAAGGAAATCCACAAAATCGGAATTAAACAAAAGGACAGCTCCCGCTGTCCTCGTAATTAATTACCTAAACTTATCGCTATTCATTTAAATATTAAGTGTCGTAATGTAATGAATTCTGCTTGAAACTGCGTGAAAATGCCTGTAAACGTAAAGTGCGTGCTAGAAATTACAGTTTATTCTGAGCCGACTCTTGCTTACCTTGTGGCAAAACTTATTTGTTGGATATTATGCCAGAAAAATACATTGAAAATGTTGAGGCATGTATATTAATTTCTGATGTTGCAGATGTTATTTCTTTTTGATTGGATACCTAATTTATATTACACAAGTTTTATCCGAGAATAAGACAAATTAGCCTAAAATGAAAACTATCACGACACTGCAAATGTCTGTGTCAAAGACAATGTATGTACGAAGACTGTAAATAAATTTAAGATAAGGTTATATAATTGTTGTAATGAAATTAGAATTGGCATAACATAGATAATTGTAAAAGAGGCAAATATATTTTAACTACAGTACTCACACAATATAAGTAGGTATTGATTTTAACTCGTTCAACTAATAATTTTACGGTTCTTCTTCTTCGAAATATCGAAGTGCATTTAAGGACAGTATTAAATTATGAGTACGTACTCTTATATTTATTGGGAAAAATCAAAAGTGCAAATGATAAAGCAATATTTTTGTAAATATTATTTTTGGGACATTACAAATATTAGACTTTATAAAACAAGACAAGTACTTTGGGACTCTGATGTGAGTTCAATCGAAATGGTGTCATGTTGCTAGCATGACGGATGTGAATATTTGAACAGACTGACGTAGATATTATTGGATATAATATAATACTAACATACCTATAATTATCCGTATAGTAGTCACTGTACTTTAAGCTAACATATGAAATATTACAATTAACGTGGCTTAATAGAAAAAACCTGTAGGTATTTTTGCCATTGTCAGTAGATTGAATAAGTATTTGTATTGAATTATTACAGCCACAAGACATCACATTATTTTCATTATTATATTCAATACTAAAGAAAGTAGTCACATCAAATGCTTATGTGACGACTGAATATTTTGTGATAAGTATATTGGTATAAAAGCTTCTACAAAATTGTGATATATGGTGTAAATGCCATTTGTGATCCATTTTTTAAGGACTAAATTATATGATAGACTAATTGAAATAATGTGTTTTATTTTTTAAAAGAAGAGATCATTCAACTTTTGACGTAAAAAATAAAAGTAAATTAGTAATTTTGCTAAATATTTATTAAAAAGATATAAAAACATAATTAGATATCTTATAATTTTACTATGACTTCTATATAAATAAATCTTACTATAGTAAGTACTAGTTAGGTATAGAAACTATCTAAACGCTTAAAATAAATTAATATGTTATATGATACTATGAGTAGGTATATTTTTATCGACTACACGAAATGGATGAAATTATGTGAGTTTAAGAACTATCGGATACTGAATTTAGCTGTCGCTTCACTGAAGGTTCGGGTACGTTCAGTTCCTTCCAATCTTTCTGCAAATAAATAAAAAGACATCAAATAATGTTTAACGCAGTTAATTTTTGTAGGCTTATATATATATTACGCCACATGCTAACTAAATAATCATTTCAATAGATCTGGCCAAAAAAACAAATTCTGCATAATGCGGTGGAATATGTATTTAGTAGGTATAATTAAATAGAACTTGTAAAGTTGTGAGCTTCGACAGCACAATATAAACTTGGATGGTTCTTTGAGTTGGTATGGTTTCATAATAAATTATATATTAACTAAATTACCAATACAACTTTACTAAGTGTCACACTAAAAAACGATTGAGGTGGATTTTGTAACAAGTTACAATTTACTAAGCCTTTAACTGAAAATTGAATTGCTGGTATTCTTAGAACCGAAACAAAGCGACAAAAAAAACATTCGCTTAAAATTATGATTGCGTTCTGTTTGGAAAGGCATCGTAGATAAATATACCGTTTTAAACTTCATGGTCCCTAACATTATAGTTATTTATATTATTTAGTACAACAGTGCCGAAATATCGGGTATTCGCTAAAAACAAGGTACTTACATGGTAGCAGGCTAGTAACTAACATAAATAACTATGACATCTTAGTTATTTTAAAACTTATGGAACATAATAAAACATTGAGTATTGAAATAAGTAAACGATAAATGAGAGCTTGAAGATTACTATTTTATAATTAAATTATTAGCATAGATAAAAAATACTAAAGTTACCAGTATCTCATTGTCAGGCACTCGCGTAATGAAATCTAATATATCGTTGTTTAACAGCCTGTTTGGATTTAGATATTTCCTCGTGAACTTGTAGATGCCTGAAACAAAAAGTTTGCATGAAATCTCGTGGAAAGTTTAAAAAATAAATAAATATTTCTAACACACACACTAATTATAAGCCTAGCCCCAAAGTAAGCACTATAAGGTTTGTGTTATGGGAATCTAGGGTAACGGATAGAATACATTATTCTGATACTTATTTAAGTATATTTTTATTTAGAAATACATTTAAACATCCATGACTTAGATATAAATGCTGGTATTCATCACACAAACGTTTTGCCCCACCTGAATTCGAACCTCTGAGCAGTCGACACCTTGAAAACCGGCGTACATACCACTCTAGCCACAGAGATCGTCCGTTTGATAGAATATAATATTACGAACTATATCCAAGGAAGGAATAATCTGAGATTAGTTCCGTCGTGTTTTGTTCATAACACTCAAATGCCATTGAACATACTCACCAGCAGAATCACAACACCACCAAAAGGTAGAGTTATTTTCACACACTTCCACATGCACGCACTCACGCACGCACACACGCACACGCACACACACACATACACAACACACACACAGACGCACACACACATGCACACCCAGCATAACACATACTCTCAAGTTAATATTTATTTTATTAGTAAGAGGTACCATTATCCACCTGATCCAGAGTCGGAGAGCCTGGTTATCTGTCATATAGGTTTTCCTAGTGCAGAAGCCAGTCTCTTACATAGTTTTAGGTACTTAAATTGTGAATTTGCTTATACCTTACTTTTATGTACCTTACCTATGTGAGAGAACAAATAAAAGTATTTTCTACTTTACTGTTGTCTTCTGTAAGGTGGAGGTTGCTTTCCCAGACAGGGCGCCCCAATTCGAGCGGGAAATCCGCTGTTCCTAATTGTCTTAAAATTAATATTATCATCTGTTGAGGCACAGAGAAAACGGATGCTAACAACTGCATACGCAGTCAGGACCAACGGTTTAAGTTAAGCCTCCCGCTGCATGAACGAATTCGAGATAATTAAATTTAGCCACCTCTGGTGTACGATATCCATTGCAAAAGATTCATATCTTCCGCAATCACAGACCACTGCACACGCCATCGATCAAACTCCTCTAGTTAGTAAATATCAATTTGGATTTACTCACCAAACGCCATCATCATGTAATTGAAAGGTATAAAATAAAATCCAAGCGCTGATAGGATGAGAAGAATCATCGTTAGGTAACTCAGGAATGGTACTTTGAAACTCGCCAAACTGCAAAAAAGCAATTATTCAAATATGTGTTTACTTGAATAAACATTGCTTCCTTGATTTTAAATTCTTTAAAAATAAAAGTCTCTACTTTGATATCAGAAACGAGTTAGTGGAATAGTTACTTTATCACAAAATCGCTGCTACACGAAATAATGAATATAGATTTGTCTTAACTCCATCCAATAACAGAAAAGAGTCGGGCTGGTACCGACCGGTCCTAGGTTGCTTTTGTAAATATAGAAAAGTTACGGGTTTATATTATCATTCAACCATACGGCGTCTACTGCTAAGCATAGGTCTCCTCTAAAGATTTCCACGTTGACCGGCCCTCTAGAGCTGTTCGTATCCTTCATTCAGCATTAATTTTATAAGAAATATTAAGAAAAGAAAAGTACTCACTTAACTATTCTTTCGACTAAGGAGACTGAGTACTCGACACCCCCTGTGATGGTAAGTGTCATCTCCTGAAGTCCCATAAACCGCTTCGACCAGCGCTTCTCGCTCTGTAAAATCAAATAACCGTTACAATCCCCTTATTAGACAAAATTAGAGCTTGGAAATAAAGGCCGCACTCAGCGACATTAACATTAACTGCTCGTGACGCGTTGTCGTATCCTATCAATATCGCAAAGAAAGTGGAATGATCAAATGTAAAAAGTAAGTAACGTTTTTGAAGTGGAAACTTCTTTAGCGCCGCTGTAAACTTTTTTGTAATGGGTAAAAATTGTTAAACTCGCGTCAGGTCAGGACACGTGACCTAATCAAAAATTCATAAGACGAAAACAATAAAATTGGAAAGATTGTTGACTTTCAAAATATTAGACGAAACAAAGTAATATTTTATTTTATCGTATTATAATAATAAGTCTCTATCTAGGACGTCCAGGAGGCCTACTCTATTTCAACGAAAAACGAAATTTCGATCGAAATTTCGCACGTTCCTTACTCTGTTTCTATTTCATTTCGAAAATTCGTTCGCCCGAAAATTGTTTGACATTTAAATTCTCTAAGCCTACTCTAATTCACAAAACTTTTGAACTAAAAGTTGAATTTGACAGATAATTGTTCGAAATTTTAACCTCTAATTGGCGAAATGAAAATTGTTACCTTTTCATTTTCGTTTTGAGATTTTTGTTTTAATTAAGCCTTAAATCCTTGCAACACTATTTTTAATCAAGGCTGCTTAGCTGGAGAAACATTTTTGGCATGTAAAATTAACATATAAACCATATATTCTGTAATTCCAATACTTCAAAGTATTAAACGATAAATTTAGGTTGGCATAAAATAGATTGTATCAACTCTACAAATTAGTTGGCTAACACTGTCAAAGAAGGTTCTTTCAATGTAATCAAAAATGTTGTCATAAAGTAATATTGTTTTGAAGTAAAAAACGTTATCTAAATAGTGTAGACAAAAAGAACTCACAAACATAACTCATCCATTCGTTCACGATAATTGTATGAGATTCCGAACTTTATGTGCGTGTTCGAAGATGAAATAGGGTAGAGTCACTGGCGAAATTTCGTTTAAAATTCGTTCGGTGCTGAAAGAGAGTAGAGATCCAGGTGGCGAAGTTATTGAGAAGAAAATGCATTTTTTTTACAATAGATGTCACCAGGTGCGCTTAAATGAGATTCATGTAAGTTGTTTTTCTGAGAGATAAACTTTTTAATGTAATATAAATTGTCAAGTTTGTGTACGATAGCGAAATAAATAAATATTGTATTCTACCACATAAATGATAGTACTTCTATACTGATAATTAAAGCAATTCGTGCAAAAATTTTCCCTAACCATTATCAAAAATACACATCGTTAATATTCAAGTTTTCACTTATGCCGGTACTCCCGGAGTGCAACTCGTTTGATTATACTTCTATTCTACATTTTAAGGAAAGTTATACAAAATATATTTTTTTCATTTCCCTGAACAAAAAAAAATCTACAACACTATTCACCAGCTGGATATATGGTAAATGATCCTTGTTCCACGTTAATGTGCTAGTAACTATAATCTAGAAAACTTTATAAAGTAAAACTTTTCCAATGTTATTGAAAAAAAATTACAAATAAGCTCGAGGAAGCGAAATATGGGTTTTCATGGAGAGCGGGATACTAAAATACCTAATAAAATAAAAGGGCGGCATCATTTGAATGGGAGATGAAATTTAAAAAAAAAGGTTGCGGTATATGTTCCTGGTCTTCACTTCACTTTCACACTACGAATACGTACAATTTGGCCTTAGTGTTGCAGTCAATGATACGTTATCTATTAAAATGGGAATTTGGCCGATTCCGTTATCGCGTTCAAGTTTAAGGCTGCAATGGTTATTTATAAGATAATTCTTTTATTTACACAAACATGATAATTTTAAAAAAATGAGCTCAGGTATATTTAAACCAAAATTTTGTGAACATAGATTTCTAATGTTTTTAAAAAAGGCTCCGTGGCATAATCTAAAGCCGTATTATTATCTCTTACCACACTGAGGTTGAAACCAGATGTTGCTTTACAGTATTTATCCCTAAATGAGGTAAATGATACCAAATACCTATACCTATTAAAGGTCGCTCTCAGAGATGTTTATTAATTTTAAAGCTTGAATGTTATCTCTTTCTTTAAGATAGCAATAGAATATACGTCATATTTAAAAAGAAAGCATTAGATTTAATTTGAAGTCTTTGTGTGCTGGATATAACGTAAATTAGTTTTATGACATACAGAGCGTAAATATTAATAATAATTACCTTATCATCGTCGTTTTGATCGAGGCTATCTTCGACAACGTTGACAGTGCGTGTTAACTGCCATTCAGCTAGAATACAAATTTGAACATTATTACATTACTAACTGAAAAGGTTTAAGTATATATTAAATACTCGTCGGACAGATGTATAACCTAAAATAAACAACCAAAACACCAAACAATGCATCATTATTATGTTATAAGAAGCTGAAATATTTGTGACTTGAAGGGATTTTATATTTCCTGTCCTCTGGTGCTAACCCAGAGATAACGAGCACAGGAAATATATCTTCTAGAAGATCACGGTTAAATAGCACTACCTTTTGGTGGTGTTGTGTTTATATACTGATGATGAGAAAGCTTTCATGGCTTCACCGCGTAGGTATTGCTTTCAGGCAAAGCTGGTTGATGAAACACCTTTTTTGCCACATTAACTTGATTTACACAAGGGCTCCATTTATACTTCAAATCATGTGGGGTAATTTGGTACGCCTAAAAACAACAATACCCTAAAGCCCGAACCATTATCGAATTCGAATATTTGAATTCGTTTTCGATATGCGTCAAATGTCAAGAAGTTCGTGCTACTGAATTTTAATATGACGACCACCGTGGCCGAATGGTTCGTACGGCGGGTGTCATTGTGTCGCCGACTCGAGAGGTCCCGGGTTCGAAACCCGGTGGGGACGGATGTTTGTGTGATGAATACGAGCATTTGTACTCCGGTCATGGATATTTGATATATATTTCTATAAAAATATACTCATATATGTACAGTATATGTACTCTATCCGTTACCCTAGTATCCCATAACACAAGCCTTATAGTGCTTACTTTGGGGCTAGGCTAATTGGTGTGTTAAAAAAATGTCGTTGCGTCCTTGGTGGCACTGTTCTAGTGCCCATCCAAAATTTGTTGAAGACGATTCGCACACGCAAGCATAATGATTTCGATATTGGTTCGTGCTAGGTGCTTAGGTACAATAGACAATGGTAATCCAACAATAAACATTAAAATGACTCACTTTGCTGCGTTTGAATAATCCAGAAGTAGAAGAAAGGTAGTAACAATAACAAGGGTGTCGCCCACATTCTAAAGTAGTACCAGAAAACCAGCCAACCAAGAAGTACCGTGAAAGACAACTCTCTGTTTTCCCATTCAAATAAACGCCTAAAACAAAAGAAATTATAGGTAAGTACGTCGCCGCTGCACAATTTTTAAAAATCTCTCAAACTGTAGGATATAACACACCTCATGGAGTTTTTTCAAGAGGATTCTTTTATTAAGTTTACACAAAATTAAAAGATGAAATCAGCAAAGTCGTTTCCAAGTAATAGGGTGACCGTAAATAAGAATTCGTTTTTATATAAGTAATAGATTTTCGTTATTCATGTATCATGAAATGTCATATCATTAAAAGTTACACATTATGAATAATATAAGAATCGTACATCTTTTATTGTAATTTTATACTTTGAAATCTTTAAGTAAAATGTAAGTTACCTAATACTCAATAATCGACCCAGAAAAGATCGATGCGTTTAATTATGTGAGTGAATTAATTATCATTATGAATCACTTACTTGTATTGTTCATTTATTTCGAATAGGGTGTTGAATGTGTCTCTGATGAATTCCATGTTACTGTAGACTAGAGGAACATCGAACTTAGGAGGCTTCTTTAAATATTTCACTTCCTGAGGTTGGAATAGTCTGACGGTGGCTTTCACCTAAAAATAATAATCATCTGTTAATAACACTCTACATTAATTTTAAACAAAAAATAAAAAATATTGCCAATAGACGCAGTGTTTTGTTTTCGTTAATTCGAATTCCAAATGTCATTTGAGTGATCTCAACAAAACACTATGACAAATAAAAACAAAAGTTCCAGCATAAAACTTCGGTGATAATTACGAGGTTAACGAAATATTATGAAGTAAACAAAAAATATGCTCAAAAATTGCCACTACTCATTTATACCACTTTGGAATGGCCAGTTATCGGATGGATGAAAAATAATATATCTTGAGGTCCTTCGTGTTTCAGAAAGCATGTTAAAGCATTGATTTCAGCTACATAGCTGAGACAATAATTACTTGTTCTCCATAATATGTAATTTAAGAAATACTGCCTACATAATCAATTGATGATTTAAAAATGGCTTCGATAACTCCATACTTAATTATAAATACGAAAGTGTGTCTGTCTGTGACCTCTTTACGCTTAAACCACTGAAGCGATTTAAATAAAATTTGTTACATAGAAAGTTTGAGTCATGGGATAGGACAAAGGATAGTTTTAATGACAGGGAAAGGGGGTAGATGTTTGTATAGGAGTCCAATTCTTCCACGCAGACAAAGTCTGCGGGCAACCGTTAGTAAAAACATAACTTACTGGATTCCAAAACATTGTCATCTCCAGCTGAACTCTCGGACAGTTTCCGCGGGCGCTGTGACGTTTGGTCCGATCCTTCAACGCAAACCAAGAAGGTTCTCCATTCTGGATTTTCAATAGAGGTATAGAGACTCTTCCCAAAGACTCGTTTCTGAGAGCCATAACCAAAGAACTGTCGTATACTTTCAGATCCAGGGTGGACGTGACATCGTAAACATTGCTACAACACAAAATATTTTAACAATAAATAAAAATATGTGAGAATTTGACAATAAATGACATTAATTTCCTGAGTTTAAAGAGCTACAAAGACAGCTTCATAGTAAAAAGTGCTGAATAAGTTTACACTAAGTTGAATTATTCGTAAGCTGGCTGGAGTGGGCTGGATCAGAGTGGCAGAAAATCAGGAGCAGTGGCGTGCATTAGGGGAGACCTATGTCCAGCAGTGGACGAGCTTGGGTTGATGATGATGATGATGATAAATAAATAAATATTTCCGACACTCACACCAATTAGCCTTGCCCCAAAGTAAGCACTATAAGGCTTGTGTTATGCGATGCTAGGGTAACGGATAGAATACATATACTGTACATATATAAGTATATTTATATAAATACATATTAAACATCCATGACTGGAGTACAAATGCTCGTATTCATCACAGAAACATCTGCCCCCACCGGGATTCGAACCCGAGATCTCTCGAGTCGGCGACAGCCATGAAACCCGGCGTACAAACCACTCGGCCACGGAGGTCGTCAAATGATATGATGCAATGAGATGATGCAGTTTACGCGCATAACCATACTCCAAAAATAACATATTTGGCATTATAATTTTTATTATTTTTAAAGCATGTAACTGCTTGATGTTTAAATCTAAAGAAAATATAACTAGAAAAAATTCCACGCGGACCAGGCAGCAGACGGGACTCGAACCCGCACCCTTCGCAATCCGGGCGAATGCACTGACCAATTATGCTACCGCGGCCCTCACGGACCGCGTCGAAATTCTTTCTAGCTATTCTTAAGCTGCAAGGCAGCGCCATCTCTTCGCATTATAGGTAAACCCACAATGTCAAATGAATACTTTTACAAGTATTAAACATTTGAAAGAAGAAATAGCAATTATAGTTATAATTTTTATTATTTTTAAAGCATGTAACTGCTTGATGTTTAAATCTAAAGAAAATATAACTAGAAAAAATTCCACGCGGACCAGGCAGCAGACGGGACTCGAACCCGCACCCTTCGCAATCCGGGCGAATGCACTGACCAATTATGCTACCGCGGCCCTCACGGACCGCGTCGAAATTCTTTCTAGCTATTCTTAAGCTGCAAGGCAGCGCCATCTCTTCGCATTATAGGTAAACCCACAATTTTTTCTAGTTATATTTTCTTTAGATTTAAACATCAAGCAGTTACATGCTTTAAAAATAATAAAAATTATAACTATAATTGCTATTTCTTCTTTCAAATGTTTAATACTTGTAAAAGTATTCATTTGACATTGTGGGTTTACCTATAATGCGAAGAGATGGCGCTGCCTTGCAGCTTAAGAATAGCTAGAAAGAATTTCGACGCGGTCCGTGAGGGCCGCGGTAGCATAATTGGTCAGTGCATTCGCCCGGATTGCGAAGGGTGCGGGTTCGAGTCCCGTCTGCTGCCTGGTCCGCGTGGAATTTTTTCTAGTTATATTTTCTTTATATTTGGCATTGCTTTGTGTCTAAGATGCTTTTCGGAAATAATATCGTTGTTTTGTATTGCCAAAAATATTTTAGTGCTCCCCAATAAAACTCAAAGCTGGTAACGTGAACATAGAGGGCATGCTAGAGAGGAATACGAGTTGCCCCAAAAATATTAAGATAGGTACTTGACTATTACACAACAATCTTGTAAGATTAAGATTATTATTTATATTTATCTCATTCAGTCCACATCATCTTTGCTTAAGGACTATTTAGTCAAAAGGACCTTTACATCTAAAGTTTCGAAACCTATTTGAGTCTAAGCAATATAACTATGCAACTATGATTCTTAATAATCTTGAATTTATTTCTATACTCACAATACGTAGCTTTTATTCCAGACAGGTTCTGAGCTGGCGCCCGCGGTGTGAGTCTGCACTCTTTCATTGTCCAGTTCCAGCGTACAGTATGCGTTGGGTTTCCCACTGAGTCCTCTGGCTCCGAGGACTTTGACATACAATTGACCTACCAGTTTCCAATCGCTTTTCAAGCTGTTTATCTCCTGCAATCAATCAAGAGATTATACTATTACATTAACCTATTCAGTCACAGTAAGAAGGTACTTCAGATTATTAAAATGTATGAAATCATCTCAAGAGAATTTAATGCAGACAGAGGCTATCGGGAGTTATCTTAGCTGATAGCGACATTTATGAAATGAATACTTTGACGTAATTCTATATCTTTAAAATATAAATTGTACTGTTTAAATTCACAGTACGACATCTCACACTGTTTCTAAAATTAAATCTATCATTAAGACACACGCAGTATATCGCTCCACCCCACCAGATGTTAAGGGTAAATGGAGTCCAGAACGCGAAGGTATCTGAAGTGGCAGAAATTTGTGCCGCTCCAATTATCCTTACTTTGCCGGTTGGAACCAAATCGCCAACTACGTGGATGCTTTACTCACCAATAGAAAGAAACATAATACCACCAGTGGTGGTCTGTAAGGTGGAGGTTACTTTCCCAACCTGGCAGTCAACTTCGAGCGGAAAATCCACTACATCCTACATCTATTTTATATACGTGCTAGTAATCAACTGTGTTACTGGCATCAAACCAACCAATTTATATTCTCGATGAATAATAACCGATAAAACCCACACAAAAACCTTACACCCTAAGGCAAAAAAGTTGAATATATCACATTTGTTTGGTTTACACTGTACTAGTCTATTCATCATTATCATCATCAGCCTATTTATGTCCATGCAGGGACACAGGTCTTCCCTATAGATAGAATAGGGAGACTGGTTCGTGAGCCACCACGCGGGCGCAGTGCGGATTGGATTGGACAGACAACTGCAGATATAGCTGGAAACAACGGCTTAATGTGCCTTCCTAAGCACAGAGGAGCTCTAGATAGTAAATTATTGGTCACCCATCCAATGACCGACCACTGCGATAGTTGCTTAACTACAATGATCGCAGTCAAACGCGCTAACCACGGAGCTAGATTATTATTGGAACGAAAGTTCCTTACGGCAGGCTTGGAGGGGATAAGGATTTTGCTGCGCGACCGAACTGAAAAAAATGTGATAGTAAAATCGTAAGAAAAAATGCGTGGAATAAAACCGTTAAATGAGACGTGCGCAGGCGCGACGAAGTTCCTTACGGCGCAGGAGAGAGAGCGACGAGGGTGCATCACTGAAATATTGTGATATTACACCAACACTGAATATGTGTGAAGTTATAGGGGGTGGTAGAGCGACGAGGGTGCATCACTGAAATATTGTGATATTACACCAACACTGAATATGTGTGAAGTTATAGGGGGTGGTAGAGCGACGAGGGTGCATCACTGAAATATTGTAATATTACACCAACACTGAATATGTGTGAAGTTATAGGGAGTGGTAGAGCGACGAGGGTGCATCACTGAAATATTGTGATACTACACCAACAGTGAATATGTGTGAAGTTATAGGGGGTGGTAGAGCGACAAGGGTGCATCACTGAAATATTGTGATACTACACCAACAGTGAATATGTGTGAAGTTATAGGGGGTGGTAGAGCGACAAGGGTGCATCACTGAAATATTGTGATATTACACCAACACTGAATATGTGTGAAGTTATTGGGGGTGGTAGAGCGACGAGTGTGCATCACTGAAATATTGTGATATTACATCAACACTGAATATGTGTGAAGTTATAGGGAGTGGTAGAGCGACGAGGGTGCATCACTGAAATATTGTGATACTACACCAACAGTGAATATGTGTGAAGTTATAGGGGGTGGTAGAGCGACGAGGGTGCATCACTGAAATATTGTGATTTACACCAACACTGGATATTTGTGAAGTTATATCAAGCTGTGGACCAATAACGCCTGTGAGACATGATTATGATTACAAGATGAGTACTTATCAGGAGGTGGCAGAGCGACGGGGCTGCATTACTGGATTATTGTGACATTGTAGTTTATTGAAACGAAAGTTCCTTACGGCAGGCTTGGAGGGGATAGAGATTTTGCTGCGCGACCGAACTGAAAAAATGTGATAGTAAAACCGTAAGAAAAAATGCGTGATAAAACCGTTAAATGAGACGAAGTTCCTTACGGCAGGAGAGAGAGCGACAAGGGTGCATCACTGAAATATTGTGATATTACACCAACACTGAATATGTGTGAAGTTATAGGGAGTGGTAGAGCGACGAGGGTGCATCACTGAAATATTGTAATACTACACCAACAGTGAATATGTGTGAAGTTATAGGGGGTGGTAGAGCGACAAGGGTGCATCACTGAAATATTGTGATACTACACCAACAGTGAATATGTGTGAAGTTATAGGGGGTAGTAGAGGGACAAGGGTGCATCACTGAAATATTGTGATATTACACCAACACTGAATATGTGTGAAGTTATTGGGGGTGGTAGAGCGACGAGGGTGCATCACTGAAATATTGTGATATTACACCAACACTGAATATGTGTGAAGTTATAGGGAGTGGTAGAGCGACGAGGGTGCATCACTGAAATATTGTGATACTACACCAACAGTGAATATGTGTGAAGTTATAGGGGGTGGTAGAGCGACGAGGGTGCATCACTGAAATATTGTGATATTACACCAACACTGAATATGTGTGAAGTTATAGGGGGTAATAGAGCGACGAGTGTGCATCACTGAAATATTGTGATTTACACCAACACTGGATATTTGTGAAGTTATATCAAGCTGTGGACCAGTAACGCCTATGAGACATGATTATGATTACAAGGTGAGTACTTATCAGGAGGTGGCAGAGCGACGGGGGTGCATCACTGGATTATTGTGACATTGTAGTTTATTCTAAACTGTGGGCCAGTCCTGCCTAGCATCCTTTACGAACGCTAGCGGGACATGATAATAAGGTGCGTATGTAGAGGGTGGCACAGCTACGAGGGTGCAGCACTAGAATATTGTGACATTACACGAAATCTGGATATTTGTGACGTTATACCGAACTGTGGACCAGGAACGCCTGTCATCTGCTGTAAACTTAAGCTAGACATGATAACAAGGTCAGTACTTAAAAGGGGGTGACAGAGCGACGAGGGAACCCCAAATTATTTTGGCATTATACCAACACTGGATTATTGTCGTATATTATACTAAACTGTGGTTAAGTCCAGGGGGGTGGCAGAGCGACGGGGCTGCATTACTGGATTATTGTGACATTGTAGTTTATTGGAACGAAGTTCCTTACGGCAGGCTTGGAGGGGATAGGAATTTTGCTGCGCGGCCGAACTGAAAAAAATATGATAGTAAAACCGTAAGAAAAAATCCGTGGAAAAAAGTGCGTGGAATAAAACCATCAAATGAGAAGTGCGCAGGCGCGACAGTCGCATACACAAGCGAGTTTGGCTTGGAGGGGATAGGCATTTTGCTGCGCGACCGAACTGAAAAAAATGTGATAGTAAAACCGTAAGAAAAAATCCGTGGAAAAAAGTGCGTGGAATGAAACCGTTAAATGAGACGTGCGCAGGCGCGACAGTTGCATACACAAGCGAGTTTGCAATTTGTGTCGATTCTACATTAGCCGAAGGAACTTCGTTCCTACCTGGTGTCCCACGACACCACATCATTTTTTACCGATATAACCTACACAAAGAGTCTAAGGAAAAAGTTGAATATATCTCATTTGTATGGTTGACACTGTAACCCCCATATTAAGAAACGAAGAATAAGCTTGGATCAGGAGCTCTACTCTCTTTCTCCGAAACGAAATTTCGGTAACGAACGAATTTCAAACGAAATTTCGCCAGTGTCTCTACTCTATTTCATTTTCGAACAGGCACATTAACTTCGGAACCATAAACAGTTTTCGTGAACGAATGGAATGAGTCATGTTTGTGAGTTCTTTTTATCCCTACTTTTAAGAAAACGTTTTTTTTACTTGGAAACAATATAGGTAGTTTACGGCAAATTTTTTGATGACATTAAAAGAACCTTCTTTGACAGTGTTAGCCGACTAATTTGTAGAGTCGATACAATCTACTGTATGTCAACCTCAATTTGTCTTTTAATACTTTGAAGTATCGAAATTACAAAAAATAACAAAAAAATGGTTTATTTGTTAATTTTACATGCTAAAAATGTTACTCGAGCTAAGCAGCTATTATTCAAAATACTCTTGCAAGTATTTTAGGCTTAATTACCACAAAAATCTCAAAACGAAAATGAAAAGGTAACACTTTTCATTTCGTCGATTTGAGGTTAAAATTTCGAACAATTATCTGTCAAATTCAACTTTTCCTTCGAAAGTTTTTTGAATTTGAGTAGGCTTGGAGAATTTAATTGTCAAAATATTTCGGACGAACGAATTTTCGAAATGTAAAGGAAACAGAGTAGGGAACGTGCGAAATTTCGATCGAAATTTCGTTTTTCTTTGAAATAGAGTAGGCCTCCAGTTACTATATATTTTCAGTGATGTGAACAAAACACGGCGTAACTAGTCTAAGCTTAATCCTCGTTTATTAATAAGAGGGTAAAAGTAAATTGCTGAATGTTTACTTACATGTTTCGCGCGTATAACACCTTCATTGAATTGCGTTTCTTCCGGCTCAGTCGTAGATTGGTCCCTCACGTTGCACAGTGTCACTGAAAAGTGCACAGTGCCAAAGCCGTCGTCGAGTTGCTGCCAGACTTCGTGAGTTCGGTCACGATCCACGTGGGTGAGATCTAAGACTGTGCTGCAAAACGTATTTATTTATCATTAAGTATTTACATCAATCAACAAGTAGTTGTTTAAATCTTCAATTTTAATTTTACTAAATCAGTTGGTCTTTACAGGGTGAGTACTAGCAGTACGGACATTCGGCAACGGATTACTGCAACATCACCCACCCGCATGTACGGCACGGACTCTGGGGATTTCAGTCCTCAGAGTGTGTGTTGGGCGAACTGTGCAGGAGCATTGTCCGGTTTTTAGTGGCTATGTTCATTTCAACCGGCCCAAGGGCTGGCTGAAATGAGCAGGGAGGAGTAGCACATATCTTCTTCACGTTGAAGGATGCGTAAGGCATTTCCCAGAAAATAAAAATTAAATAAATCTGTGAAATCAGCAGTACTATAAGTGTAAGAACAAACTTACTTTTCACCGCAGAATTCACCGGTGTGATTTGTAATTTATTTATATACTAGCGGCCGGCCCTCGCTTCGCTTCGGTGTAGAGCCGAAGTGTGGACTACAGTTTTTGTTCTCATGCTTGTATTATTCACAATGACATTCATCTATGATTTTTCTTATACCTGGATTCCGCGGTAAAATGTGAATTTGTACTTACGGTATAGCACTGCAATTTATTTTATAAAATTTGTTATTTACCTGCCCATAAAATTCTTCTGCTTCCCTTTGTCCCACAGTGATAACTTCAGCAAATTGTCTTTGTGCAAACGCATTTGGAACCTTTCCTTCCATTCTGGCTGTGATGTGTTCGGCACAAGCTTGGACTTTAACGTTTCTGATCCCAACCTGAAAATATAACAATAGAAACGTTATAATTTTTATGCATACAACTGCTTCATTTGACATTGTGGGTTGCCTACAATGCGAAGAGATGGCGCTGCCTTGCAGCTTAAGAATGGCTAGAGGAATTTCGGCGCGGCCATCAGGGCCACGGTAGTATAATTGGTCAGTGCATTAGCCCGGATAGCGAAGGGTGCGGATTCGAGTCCCGTCTGCTGCCTGGACCACGTGTTTTTTTTTTCTAGTTACATTTTCTTTAGAATAGAAACGTTAATTTGAATAAATCTCTATGCCCTCCTTACATGACCACCGCAATAGTTAAGACATATATCCGTTTATCGATATCGAACTGTCAATACCTTTATAACTGATTTTGTTCAATCATATCTTATAGGATGTTACTAATTATTTAGTGAAGTTACTTTAACTAATTTGCGAATTTGGAGCATCACCATGAGACGGAAATACCTCAGCCAAATTCCACAACGCTATAATTATTCAATGTAATTTGCTGTATCCGAAAACTATAGTGACAGGATACCAGCCCAAAGTCTACAATAGTTTATTTACTGCTAATGATCAGGCCTCAGCCACTTTTAGCTTCAGTTTTTGTCCTTTCAATCCGTGGAATAAAATATAAATAATGGTGAAAACCGCATGGAAATCCGATCAGTAATTTCTTTTTAAGATTCACGCGTGAACAGTGTTGCCAACTCTACGTCTTTTTACGTAGATCTACGTATTTTAGGCCTTTTCCGGAAACCTACTAACTTCAGTCCCAGAATCTACGTATTTTCTTATTTTTTTTCAAATTTGTAAAATAACTTAATTCACTAGAATAAAGAAGAATATTTTCCGTTACTTTACTTAAAAACTATACAAATGTTTATTTCTTATAAAGATGTATCTTACACTCTCGTATCTTGTAGAAAAGGTTCCCGTTATTGGTTTTGTTGACTAAATTAATGCTGGACGCAGGAATTGTGAAAGCAGAAACGACAAAACTCTTTGACTTAGTAGGTACATTCATAACATTAAAAATTGTATTTTTAAACTTTTAATATTATCAATGAGTACCTACTCACATCGAATTGATCTTTGCAAAAAGAAATGACTTTCAGTCGATAAAGTTACAGGATTTAGCAAGTTTTAAACATATGTTAAAGTATGTTTATTTCTCTTGGCAATTTAAACCACAACTTTTCTAGTCTTTTACCAAGTGTATCATGATAACTACTACATTTTTCATTTAGATCTATTAGAAGTCATGGTTTTATAATATTAACTTAGAAAGTTTATTTCCTACGTGCTTGCGAGTGTTTGTTTACAAATGTTTTGACGTCATAGCATAGATAAGTCTATAGACTAAATAGCGTTTTTGTATAATACATTTTTTTTCGATCTGATAGAACGATTATTAACAATTTAAAACATAATTCCAAAAAGTGTCAACTAGCCCATTTAACAACAGTTTATCCTTGTCATTCTCTATACAGAATGAAAAGGAGAGACTGATGTTAAAATTAGTTTTAAATTAAGGGAACCATCCAGAATCGACACCCACCAGTGTCTGTGTCTGATGGTAAATGTCTACCACAGCATGGTAAATGCTTCCAATGCAGCGACTTCTCCAAGAACTCTTTGTTCTATCTCCCATTCTTAAACAAATTGTATAACAAAATACTCATTTTATTCGGTTTCACCTAACTTCTTCATTTCACTCAGAAAAAAGTAGGTAGATCTACGTTTTTACATATCCAAAATTTACTAATTCTACGTAATTTTCTCATCGGGCCTACGCCTTTTTCAAAATCCGAGTTGGCAACACTGCGCGTGAATGACATTAAGACAGACGCGGTGGGAGACTGTGTTTTGGGAATATTTAAAGATGTCTGGTAATATACTTTAGCCGCATCTTTACCACTGACCGACAACAACTTCTGACTTAGAGATGAATGCAGCGATGCACGATCTGCGTGAATTCGGTACACTGCATTAGACATGTCTTGTTCAGCTAAGCTGTCGGCATGACAGACATTATTGCAAAACGGTACCCAATAATCGTTTAAGGGGTACAAGTGTGTGTGTGTGATAGTTCTCCTAAACAGCCTTTCATCTAAAATAAATAATAAAAAATCAGTCGCAACTCCATTAGACCTAGAAGGTGACCTATACAGGTAAATGAACGGAGTAATAAACTTCTCTTGCAACACTTTAAGTAGTTTGAGTCGTGTTTTCAGACCTTATTACTCAACAGTACCATTGGCAACCCGCCTTAATAACACTAGGTCCTTCTGCAGCGCACTAAACCTCTTCCATCCCTCTAAAAGCTATATATTATACAAGTAAATACTGGAGTAGAGCTTTATACGTAGTTATTATAGTAATAAAAAAATTGTAATCTTATTAATATCGCCACTATGACACTGAAAGTGATTTCCTAACTAGCACATAAGCTGATTAGACAGGTCTTGTTAGCAAGTATGTACACGTTTATTGTCCACAGTAATACTACTCAATTCTTCTTATTTTACCCAGGATAGAACTCCAATTACTCTAGTGATAAATTAAATACCTACTCAATTTATGACGGTATTAAATAAGCGAGCATTCTAAAAAAATAGAATAAATTTAATATCATTTAATCCCACTTTATCAGAATATTTCTGATACGTCATATTATGTAGTTATTCAATAAAAAAATATGTCTTTAAAGTTGGCACAAACTCTAAATTTTTTCTGATTTTCTTTTTTATTTGCCCATATTTTTAGATTTATTTCTTTGTTAATTATAAGCTCTTATTATAAGCTGCAAGCATGTTACAGGTCAGATATTCTGAAACAAATGTAAAAACAACTTCTTGTCTCGCTGAATGTAGTACTTACTTATAATGCTGCCGCTCTAACGAAGAGTACAATAACTCCAAATTTACCACTTCCGAGAAAAACATGCTCAAAATTTTGAGCTTTGTATTTCTTGTATCGCATGAACTACTAAACGTATCTAAATGAAACTTATAACGATTGAAAGAGGAACAAATAAAAAGCAAATTCAAAATAAATTTAATGTGAAAATATGAAGGTAATTGACCAAAATCGAGTTATTGTACTTTTCGTTAGCGCTGTAGAATGAGAGTAGGGCTATAAAATTATTCAGAGCGCCGACTGCTAATACAGTTAATGAGACTTAATTTTAAGTTCCAAATTGGCTGTCAGCAAGGCGATCCTCTCTGGTTCACCATTTTTAGTTTGACAATACAACCCATTATTGATTTGCTAAATTCAAAATTTAATGTGTAGTACCTTGATGACGGAACTATCGAAGGCGATATTTCAACCGTTCTTTCAGATGTTCACGTCATTATCGATGAATTTTAAAGTATTGGCCTTGATTTAAGTTTTTCAGCGAGCTATTTATTCCAGAATCAAAATTTTCATCTCACCAGTTACAAAATAATATCACAAAATTTTCTGCTTTAGCTCCTAATATCAAAATTCTTGATAAAAAAATCACTCCGTCTCCTAGGTTCCCCGATTTTTGATGATGCTATTTTTATTTTTATTAATGAACTGTAATAGTGAAAATAAATGAGTAGATCCACCATCCTCTTTATCTTCTCAGAGACAGTGAATTTCAAAAAATCCCATCTTATTACTTGTCTAGACAATAATAGGAACCTACTGTTCAAAGTCACATCATTCATTTCAGCAAATAAAAATTTAGGTTGGATCCCAGGGCTTAAATTTTAAGTTTTTTTTTTGTAATGGGTTGCAATGTACTATAAATAAACTTTATTCGAGTTGATTTATTAAGTTCTTTTGTTTAACAATTATTTTTTAACGTAAATAAGTTCGGGTCCAAAGATTCATTGGCACACTAATTAATGCGTCATAAAATATTGTTTGTTCAAGGAAGTACAGTTGAGCTATGATTCCGATAACGCATCATTCATGAGTAGGTATAATACATCATGTTGGAACAAAATATGTATCTGTTACTATCTGCGTCGCCCTTAATCTTTGGATAATTTATAATAAAAAAGCAGATAAGTTACACTATTTATAATGCTGATTACAATCTAGTTGATACCCAATGAACCGGATTTGTTTCAATAATTAAATCTTTCATCAAGATCATATTGTAAGAAAACTTTGTACTCATGACTAATTTTCACATAAAATATGTGTTTCGACATGGTTTCTACATTTTTTTTTGTATTCATTTAATAATCTACAATTGTTTAATCGACTCAAGGTTTAATATCTTCGAATTCAACCTTTGTATTGCATATTCCTTATTTTTATGTCATTGTTGCTTATTTGGAATCCTAGAGCCCATATGCTCCAAGTTTGGAACAAAAACAGTGGACAAAAAAACACTATGTAAAAGAAGATTTCAGATATCTTTCTCAACATGATCAACATTGATTTCTATTTTCTTTTCAAGTCCAGGGTTCCACGGAATAGGGAATGGGATTCAAAGGCAATAGAGTGAAGATACTCTGCGTCGCTTCAGCTATTTTCGCTACTGAACCTCATTCGTCCTTAACAACAACAACAACGCTATTAGTGAAAAAGGCGCGCCTAAAAAAAAGTTCACAATGTTATTCTTAGTGCAAGTAGCCTTGATCTTTTTTCGTGATATTAATTTTAATGTTTGTATAGTATTTTTAAATAATAGTAGGTAGGTAATTAACAATGATATCATTTCCAGTGGTCCAATTTATTTATTTTCATAATAAGATATTTTTTTTCTTCTACGTACATAACAACCAATGCCGTTGGTCACGTTATCTTTCGATTAATTTGTAAATGAGTAGTAATAACTACATCATTAAAATATATTTAGGTATTTTATTTCACTATCATAGGTTACTTCATCGTTTATAATACACAAAATGATAATAAAGTATTGACCTGAAGGTTATATAGGTAATGTATTTGAGTGCATTTTTTTAGGATTCCGTATCAACAAGGAACCCTTAATGACACGCTAGTATGTCCATTTCAGTCCGTCCCAAGTACTAGAAAGCTGTAATTTAGCACAGATCAACATATTAAACACGCGGACAAAGTGACCCAAAAAAGGCACGAAAACATAACATTTATACCTACTATACCTGCTCGGAGGGCTCTAGTATTTTTTATCACATCAGTACCCTTAGTACAAGTTGTACAATTACGAAAACTATGATAGTTTTCGTGAGCTCTCACTCGTACTAAGGGTACTGATTTTATTATTTTCGTTTTAATACAAATAAACAGTATTTAAATTCTATCATTAAATCATTTGCGTTTTCTTAAATTTAATTATATTTGGTTACTTTTCACCAAAATGGACATAGAAACATAATTTACAATTACAAAAACTATGATAGTTTTCGTGAGCTGGAACTCGTACTAAGGGTACTGTTCAAAAAGAGCTAGTTTGTTATCTGTTTACAGGGACCAAAACTGCGTTTCAATCCCAAGGGACTAAAAATCATTTGAATTAGGAACGTGTATATTGTTAGTAAGAGTTCCAATCATTGAATTTCTATGAAATTCATTTGGCATGGCACACTTGGCATAATCTTCTTTAATCGAATATTTGTAAGGCATATTTTTATTAAGTATAATTATAATTTGGCCGAATATTTATGTGTCCGAATTCACAATAGCATACTTTTGAGGTGTCAGAATTTTATTAAGCATCTCACCTTTGAAAAAAGTTTATTTTGAAAAAAAAAACACCATTTATTTTTCCTTTGCCTGGGACATAGGTACATATAAAAAAATCAAACAGCGGTAGTATCGGTAATGTAATTTTTACCAAAGTGATTATTAACGAATATTTTATGAACAAGTTAGAGCGTAAACTGTGCGCTCGCCAAATTAAAATAAAAAGGTTGTGAAAAAACATCAATGACAAAGTATTAGCGCGTCAAAGTTTGGGAGTAGGGGCTCGTGACGTCACTTTTTAGTGAATTTTCACTTAAAGGTGTGACGTCATGCGACTTTTCAAATCAATATATCTCTGCAATGTTTATATTATGTGAAAAAAGAAAAAATACGTGTCCAATACTTTTTGATAATCTACCTGATAAACGAAGAAAAAAAAATAGTCATCATCCCTATTCGGAATTTTATGGTTTTATAAAAATAGTGTATTCCTCAAGAAGTGACAATAAAAGTACCTATGCTTAAAATTTGATACGAAGTCTCTTACATAAAAAATCCAAGAACAATGTATATAAAAGCACATTATGAAAATTTATCCTTTGGAAAAGTGCAAGAAAGGCGATGCGCGACCTCACTGCCGGATTTAGGGGAGGGCAACCAGGGCGAAAGCCCCGGGGCCTCCACAATAGAGACTTGGGAAAAAAAATCTTTTAAATTCCAACTAGTAAACATCTTTTCCTTTGATATTTTTTTTTGCTCTTTAACCTTTACCTACAGCCTACAGTACTTTTTACATCTAACATACATGATTATTTGATTATATTAATCTTAAATAACAGAAATCATTGATCTATATTTGTTCACTCCACTCAGGCAATCAGTGAAATATCAAAATCTCAAATGGCCCCGATAAGCACTTCCAATTCACTACCCATCTTGAGGGAGTACCCCAATCACTTAATGGCTGAGTGGGGTGGTCCTTGCCCGCAGGGCCGATTTTAAGGCAGGGCAGGTGGGGCTGTGGCCCAGGGGCCTCCACAACAGCTTAAGAAATAACAACATTTCGATTGGTTAACAAGAATACAAATCCTAAGTGGCCCGGGGCCTCCACAATCCTAAATCTGGCCCTGCGCGACCTCATACTGCATAGCAGACGGTCTTCAAGTTACAAGAGCTGGGGTTGGAAATTCTACGTCATCCACGGTACTCTACAGACTTCTACTTTTTTCCAGAATTTGTATATCATCTTAGCGGAAAATAAATTAAATAACCGTGAGGCAGTTCAAAATGCCTTTGTAGAATTTGTTGCCTCCAGCTCAGCAGACTTTTTAAAAAAGGGCATAAATAAGCTAAAATGTATTGATGGAGTGGGTAACTTCTTTGATTAATAAAATAAAATAAAAACCGGGCAATAAATTATATCACGAAAAACGGCTATTTCATTTCACCTAATATTAAGTTTTTAACAACTCTACTTTAATATCAATTAAAGAATTTGTCTTTTATTTACTCGTAGGAATCCCTCGTATCCCTCGAAAGAAATCGCTATTCCCAACTCGGGTGTATAAAGGCTGTGCCTCGGGCTCCAAACTACACCCTCGTTGGTAATCGATCATTTTTTCCCCGCGGTGAACAATGTGCTTATTTTAGCGTGCTACGTGTAGCTACATTTTCTTTTTTTTAACAATAAAAACTGTAAAAAACAGTAAGAAGTTTTCACTCTCTAGATTATTTCGGGAGTTCCAAAGAAAACTTAAACACAAAAAATAAACATAACATTTACCCAGTCGTTGTTATTTGAAGTGTGACTGCACTGTATCGCACACAAAGGCATTGTTACATTCATTTACGTACTTTGATCTCGGCCCTACTCAGTGGGTACTTTGTACTATTAAACAAGTAGGTATTGGTTACAAACAGATAATGCAAACGTATTAGTAAGTGAGTTGATGGTATAATTTATGGATTGATGCATTATGTAATAAATAGAAATGAACTAAAATCCCTAAGACGAGTGAAAAATTACAAAAATAATTTTAGGTTCTTAAGTTAATTTAATAAAAAAGTTAATTTTACATATTTGTTGGAATTATTGAGATGTAACGGTTAACTATACCATTTATCGGGGTTAGTCAAACTAATAATCATAAAAACCGGCCAAGTGCGAGTCGGATTCGCGCACCGAGGGTTCCGTACAAACTCAATAATACCTCTACGCGCTCATGTGAAAAGAGGTATAGTAACTTTAAAATTTTCAAAAATATTTTTTATTTTATGATGTAACTAAAATTTTACGGTTTTCGCAATTTTTCCTTTATGTGTACTATAAGACGTACCAAATTTCAAGATTTTAAGTTCACGGGAAGTACCCTGTAGGTTTTGATTCCCGTGCGAGTTTCGAAAATTTGTCACATAAACGGCTGTATCTTTTGATTGCTTTGGCTTAGAAGTATGATATTTTCACAGCTCCAAGGGACAGTAGACATAAGTATTAGATATGAATTTCAGTTTGATACCTCCACGCGTTCCTGAGGAAAAAGGTCTTGACAGACGGACGGACGGACGGACAATAAAGTGATCCTATAAGGGTTCCGTTTTTTCCTTTTGAGGTACGGAACCCTAATAATTATTTATTAAGGCGCTGGACACACAGAAAAGACGCAAGACGCTAACGGGGCGCGGACATTGTCAGTTTTATACAAAATGAAAAAGCATTGTGTCCGCGCCTTGTCTTTTGCATTTTGTTTTGCTGCGCAACGTTTCTATTCTATACGTTTTGTATGAACAAGATCCGAAGAGACATAATGATATTACGCCCTGGCTGCATCTAACGTCTCTTCTGTCTGTCCCGCGTCTTATATTTACAAAAACCCCTTATCTTTGTATTAACTTTAATTAAAGTCTCAGATCAGGATCACGAACTTAAAAAAAGATAACTTACTGTCATATAGATGCCGCTGGATTTTCCAATTAGGTACTTTATACCTAATCATAGTTTACGTAAACTAATTGCCCAATAAAATTACTACAAATAAAATTATTACAAAACAGTTCTATTATTTTTTATGTTAATCTAGTTTTATTACATAGAATATTTTAATGGCGTAACAATAATATAAGATAGGTTCGAACTCCTATTTCTTAAGGCCAAATTGCGCAAGTTCGATAACCATTTTATTTAAAGTATAAACAAAATAATGCCCACGAACTTAGAGGAACCAAGCCTAATCTAAATATATAAAAGAAGAATCTGAGGGGTTCATTCTATCTGGCAGAATCTTTTTACCACGAAATTCATTTGGCATAACGCACTTGGCATAATCTTCTCTAATCGAATATTTGTAAGACATATTTTTTTAATTATTATTTGGCCGAATGTTTATAAGTCCGAATTCACAATAGCATACTTTTAAGATATCAGAATTTTATTAAGCATAAATACCTTTGGAAAAAAATATTCTGGAAGAAAAAAACCCATTGTTAATTTTTCCTTTTCCTGGGACATACATATAAAAAAGTCAAACAACGGTAGTATCGGTAATGTAATTTTCGCCTAAGTACTGACAACATAATCTTACTATAATTTCCGAAGAACGATCTTTGATGCTTCTGTGTGGTTAGGAAAATGGTATGAAGAAGTGTAATGTGGGTGAAGTTGGTGAGTCACGAATTTTTGTTAAGTATAAGGTTAAAACAATCTTTTAGATTTAGAAGGATAAGTATTCTGTATTTTAGAATCTCGCTTACTGCCACGCTTATGCAAGGCACTATCCTAGTCACCTACAGAGACCTATTGCTTACAGTACCTATGGTCAATTTAATGATAGCAGCTTGACCAAGTCAAAAAAAAGAGGATCCTTGTAGTGTAACCTTAGCCTAAGCAATGAAGATAGAGTGCAGGCGATTTCCGCCCAAAATAAGCGCACTCAATTCCATCGAAAGTACACTTACCTCAATTTACAGTAAAGCTTGTGAGATGAGCCATCAGATGGTGGAACTGGCAGACTCTTAGCTTCCACCAGGACAACGCTTACTATCGTGGTCCAATGTTTGCGTGCTTTTACAGGGCTCTTCTGGAACAAACATTTTTTCAAGAAACACATCGTAGCTCTTTGTTTAGTTACTTTAAACACGCATGAAGGTTGGCATGAAAGAACTTGTGGTTCTTTGTGTTTAGGCTACTAGGTATATGAACCAAACAAAAGTCATCGTCCACAAACGAGGTGAACAAGTTGATAACAGCTGCTGTTGATAACTACTGCATAATATATGTATTATACATGTACTGTTGGGAATAATACAATTTTGTGACACAGACTGTGTTTGTTTTTCAAACAGTTAAGTATTAGTGATTTCTAATTATTATATCGCAAACTGAGGGCAGAGATAAACAGACAGAAGTTTATAAACATTCATCGCCGACGTAAATGATCTCGCTTATCGGAAACATTTGCCCCCGATGGGATAGGAACTCAAACCGTTAACTGATAAATACCTTTTCTGTGACGGGAACGATGGCTTTGTCGTAGTTGTCCGCAGTTTTGGGTGTTTCTTCCAATGCGGGACTCTTGTTCTTTTTATTCTTAACTCGCCTCGCTAGACTGCTTGAGCGAAATCTGTTATCATGAATAAGATTTTGATAATGTTGCTCTAACATTTTGTTGACGTGATTTTCCAGACGCTTAAAGATAATGCGGCTGTGCGATTTTTAGCCCATAAAATTTACGTAACTCTAAAACCAGAATAGAAAAAAATAGTAATGTTGGAGATGAATATTGAAATGCAATATTCATCTCTATTAAATTAATATATATATTACATAATTTCCTTTTAATAACACTCATTTTAAATTGTCCCCAGATGATTTTTTTAAAAAGGATATTTGTTTGCATTAGTCAGAATTCCATATTTTGAAGAAGCTAAAAATCATTGTTATGTTGCTTTTTAGTTTAACGTACCTAAAACATAAAATACTGTTTTTACTTACGCGTGTGGACACAAAAATAATAAAGATAATACAAAAGATTAAAAACAAAACTAATTCAAACTATTCAAAATAAATTAAGTAACTAAAATAATATGTAAAATTAAGAGAAATATCCTAGACCTCGGTGCTGAAAAGACTGTTTTGACATCAAAATTAACAAAAACAAAAAATGCAACAAAAAACAAACAACTCACAAATTCGAAATTCGGGATTTCTTATCTGTGGCACTGCTACTGTCTGAAGAAACACTGGAGTGTCGTCGAATTTTAGGACTACCATTTTGATCATTTTTATTAACATTATTTTCGCCTACCACTTTTTCACTATCACTGCAGTTGTTATTATTCTGTTCGGGCTCCATGTCCGCTCGCGGGGACGAGGTCCATGCGTGTTATACACGCGACTGGACTAACTCACATTTAATTTATACATTCAATACTCATTTGTTCTTGTTGATAATCTACGGCAAAGTTTAAGATAGCGACAGTATTAAAGTAACTAAGCAGATACTATACGTATTTATATTTTAAATAGATAGGGTGCATAACAAAACAATGCCTTTATCTTCGCTTTATCGGAATTGCGTTATGATTTAGCATTTCGCCTTGACTGATCCTACGGAATTATCTGAATTTATTATCTTTTTTTTAAGGATTCTTTGTCGGGGATATTTTGGTTATTGTTTTCTTTGTTCTGTAATTAGTTGCTTTCGTGTTTTGTTTTTTAAATAGTATATTTTAAATATTTTATTTTAAATAGTAATTTAAATTACATAACCTATTATTGAGAAAACTTAATAAAACTATTGTGTTAACCCTTGACTTCAAGGTCCTGTTTGGTATAAATATGATAATTGATTACCTACTTAAGTACCTTGATTTTTTTCTGGTCAATCATTAGGCTATCCCGATCTTAAAGGGTTTGTATATTATTATTCTAAATTCATCATAATATAACTAGATACCATTACATTAAGCAAGTTTTGACTTAAAAAAAAACTAAGCTTAAGCTAAAAATAAAAAAGAAATATTAATTACAAACAGTCATTTGTAGTGTAAAGTTCCGGTAATAAATACCCAAGTTTTATACAATTACATACCTAACACACAATTTGAGAACCTATCACAACAATAAACACTTTTAGACTGTACGCTGAGTGTCGGTTGGTTGTACTTTTCAATATAGTAGAATAATTATTTTATACTTTTGTCGCGTGAAGTATACACAGTATCAACTACAAAGAAATAATTTCTTCAGGTTAATGACACAAAGCATTGTTATGAAAATTAGTTCTGCTACTCACCGCAGTTGGCGCTATACAATTTTTTCATGCAATTGCATGAAAAATTCAATTGCTGAAAAACAAATATTAGCTACATCTTTTTTTTTAAATCAAGCTTAATATATTATAATTACGTAGATAAAAACTTTATTGCCCACATACAAACAATACATCTAGGTAGGTAAATTGAGAACTTACAAATAAGCTAATTAGGCCTTATCCAGGCGGCTAGTAGCGATCTCTTCTAACTAATCTCCTTCCCACCCAACTATGAAATTAAAGGAACGCGGATACCGCAATATTTACTCTACTATTTCGAGAACTTAAGTACCGGTACCCTTAGCACGAAGCCATATCGAATTCGAATAGTTTGCGAGTCCGAAATGTCATTGTCAAATGTGTACTGATTTTTGTTCCCGTTATGTACTTTGTGGCGCTGCTGTTCAAGTTTCCATACAAAATTTGACAATGACATTTCGGACTCGCAAACTATTCGAATTCGATAATGATTCGTGCTGGGGGTACCGGTGTTTATAACAAAAATGTTCTGAAACTTCATTTTCTTATTAAGTTTCAGAACTTTTTTTTTCTAAAAGATTATTCGTGACAGTTAACGTGATTAGACGTGGACTATTTACTTGGTCCATTGCGCGTGCAGGGTTGTTGAGCTAGCATAGCGAGACTAGCTTCTTTTAGAAGCGCAGTAGTTTCCTAGGACTCTCACAGGCTTCTTGGAGCATGCTCGGCATCCCGAGGAGTGATGTTCGGTGTTCTGCCACTCTAACACTTTCATTCCAGGATTACCTAGATAAGCGGCCGTTTTAATCTGCTTGCCAATAAAAATAGAAGACTTCCAATGTGTTGCCCAAATTGTGTATTGTGCAACCAATCCGCACTGGGTCCATTATCACCCACTCATCCGCGCTGGGTCCGTTGTCACCCATTCAAAAACATTAATCTTATGAATAAGCTAAGTACTTAAATTTTTAAAAAAATACAGAAATAATATTGTTCAGACACATAATTATAATGACAGCACCATATTTGGCTGGTTAACTTTTAAACAAAAATTTTTTAAACAAAAAATAAAACTGACTTCGAAATTGAAAATAGAACTAAAAAGTTAAAAAATAATATCTGGTTCATGATTTGTAAGTCGGGCGGGTTAAGATTGAAAGACGAATTATTACCGATCAGAAACAAAAATCTATTTAATGTTTCAATCTTGACCCCGCCCGACTTCCAAATCATGAACCAGATATTAGTTTTTACTTTTTAGTTCCATTTTCCAAGTCAAAGTAAACAATAACACAATTGGCGGAGAAATCGGTGAACATGCATAAAGAAACATCGTGCGTGCCTTTGAAATTTGAAGGTTTCCCTCGATTTCCCCGAATTCCACCATCAGATCCTGTCTTGGTTCCAATTGGACTACATCGGAAGTGCACTCTTTCGAATAAAAAAAGGGTTTTAGGAAATCGGTCCATAATTTGACGACCTCTGTGGCCGAGTGGTTTGTACGCCGGGTTTCATGGCTGTCGCCGACTCGAGAGGTCCCGGGTTCGAATCCCGGTGGGGGCAGATGTTTGTGTGATGAATACGTGCATTTGTACTCCAGTCATGGATGTTTAATATGTATTCATATAAATATACTTATATATGTAAAGTATATGTATTCTATCCGTTACCCTAGCATCCCATAACACAAGCCTTATAGTGCTTACTTTGGGGCTAAACTAATTGGTGTGAGTGTCGAAAAAAAAAAAAAAAAAAAAATTGACGGAGTAATCGGTTAACATACATAAAAATATATATATATATATACAGTCGAACATAGAACCTCCGCCTTTTTTGAAGTCGGTTACAAAGCTACTTATATATCTATTAAACTAAACAAAAAATCAACATGAAAGAAAACGTTAATATCTTATCTTATAATTAAATTACAATCACAGTACCATTTTTGCCTGGTTATTTAGAAAAAAACAACTAAAAACAAAAACAGCTTCTATAAAACAAAAAAAATAACATGAAAGAAAACGTTATTAAATTTAATTATTTAAATTCAGGTAAAAAATAAATGTAAATTATAATTAATAGTTGCGCGGCGCGCTTTGGCCCGCGTCGCAACGCAACAGAACCAACGGCGATTTAATTTTTTATATAGGTACATGATTTCTCGAGTTCTCCACTTCTGTCGAGCTTGATTTCCCGGGAATGAAGCCTAAGCATGCCTAAGGAATTTCACTTCAAAAATAAAAAAAGAACAGAAGTGGCTCAGGGCCTTCCACCTTCTTAATAGTTCGTCGGTGGAATTGATCTTGAATAGTGATTAAAATATCTTTCATAAAAGTGACAGTAACCGAAAGAAGGAAAACTTCTTTACTATAAGTACGCATAGAAAAATGATTGATCTCGCTGTAGAGAAGCGAGACTAATAATTCATCTATGTATGTACGTAAGTAATAATATGAAAATACAACCTTTACTATGTACTTCTCTGAACACGATTCTAAATATAAATAGATACAAAATTTATAATTGCCGATGTCCGATCTCAGTTGTAGTCCTCGACTCCTCATTCAACCATCTGTGGAAGGTTGGACTTTGGTAAGTAAGTACACAGTCAGGTCATAAGTATTGTCACATAGTAAAAAAAAAACTTTTAAAATGCTAGCCACAAAAATGTTTATTGAATTCAAATAGGCTAGTTGACCCTTTTTGGAAAAAGGTTTTAAATGGTTAATAAATATTCTATTAGACCGAAAAAAAATGTATTTTATTTTTTTTAAACCTAGAAAGCTACAAATCTTTAATTTTAAAATAGACTTTTCATGGACATACAAAAACGCTGTCGGCCATTTTAGTCTATAGATTATCTATGCTATGACGTGAACTGTGGTAAACAAAAACTCGTAAACACGTAGAAAATTACTTTTAAAACTGAGTTTATAATAAAAAAAAATATGATTTCTAATAAATACCACGAAAAATAAAGTAATTATCATTACTGTATTGTTTGTACGAGAATATAAAAAACACATCCTTGAAGACTCCAGGAAAGTTGTGGATTAAAGTGCCGAAAGAAATTAACCTACGCAACTTTATTACACTTATTCACATGTTGTATCAGTTTTATGTTTATTACTACATTGTAATACTAAATGCACTGTACTTACATAGTTAGTTAGCCTTGTCGTTTCTCTGCTCCGCAGAGCAGAAATCGGGGTTTAGTGCAACAAATTCACCAACCATCAATTCTTGGCAGATTTGTGCTTTCTGCTTTCACAAAGCCGGCATCCATAATTAGTTTAGTCAAAAAAACTAAGTTTACTGATTTTTTCTTTCCTAAAGTTAAAAGTGTTTTAAGATAAATTTAGTCAGACGAAAGAATCCACCTACAGTAACACGCGAATGACATTTAGTTGTTTACCACAAGAGACGTCAAAATCATGGTAGATGTGGCGAACAGCGTTTTTAGTGTTTAAAAAATATAGAGTAAAAAATATTTTTTAAAATTAAATTTCTACAGCAATCTTCTGCTTTTATGAAGTGAAATCGATATATTAAGGTTCCTTAGACTAAACACTTTAAGAAATAAACATTTATTTAATACAATTCGACATGAGTAAACTAGCCTATTGTTCATGAAAATAAAAATGTATACATTTTAGAATTTTATTTATTTTTAAATATGGAGTGGACGCTTAAAGAAGACCGTGTTGCAGTTATTGCGTTGCATCGTTGCGGTTACGCGCCAATTCAAATTTTCGACATACTGAAAAATTTGAATATAACCAAAAGATTCGTTTATCGTACCATCAAACGATACAATGAAGACTCTAGTGTAGATGACAGGTCAAGAAGTGGTCGCCCTCGGTCTGTTAGGACTCCAGCAGTGATAAAAGCTGTAAAGGCGCGAATTCAAATAAATCCCAAACGTAAGCAGAAACTATTGGCCCTTCAGATGGGGTTAAGCAGGCTTCGAGAATATAGAAGAAAAACAGGACATCGTTTGAATGCTCGTCTAATGGACCTGAGACTGAAGAGATGCCGCGCTTTGTTGAAGCGGTACGCGGGAAAAAAATATCGGGAAATTCTTTTTTCGGATGAAAAAATTTTTACCGTAGAAGAGAGCTACAACAAACAAAATGATAAGGTGTACGCACACAGTAGTGAAGAAGCGAGCAACCTTATTCCGCGTGTCCAAAGAGGTCAGTTTCCATCCTCGCTCATGGTATGGTTGGGAGTTTCTTATTGGGGCTTAACAGAGAGACATTTTTGTGAGAAAGGTGTAAAAACGAATGCAGTTGTGTATCAAAATACAGTTCTGACGAACCTTGTGGAACCTGTTTCTCATACCATGTTCAATAACAGACACTGGGTATTCCAACAAGATTCGGCGCCAACTCATAGAGCGAAGAGCACACAAGACTGGCTGGCGACGCGTGAAATCGACTACATCCGGCACGAAGACTGGCCCTCCTCCAGTCCAGATTTGAGTCCGTTAGATTACAAGATATGGCAACACTTGGAGGAAAAGGCGTGCTCAAAGCCTCATCCCAATTTGGAGTCACTCAAGACATTCTTGATTATTATTGATATTGACGGCAGCCGCCGATATTGACATGGACCTCGTTCGTGCTGCGATAGACGACTGGCCGCGCAGATTGAAGGCCGGTATTTAAAATCACGGAGGTCATTTTGAAAAAACTTTATTTTCATAAGAATCTATGTTTTGTCTAGTTCATTTTGGTATATAAATGGTTACATAATGAATAAACTTGTTTCAATTATTTTATATTATACATGTGACAGAATTTATGACCTGACTAGGTATATTACTTATCTACCTTTCACATTATTTCAACATAGGTATCTAGATAAAACGTAGGTTTTTAGATTTCACATACGCACAATC